AGCTCGCTTTCTGAGTGGATTGGCCAAACAGATAAGACTTGTTCGCCCGGGGTACCTTCCCCATTCTTTCCAGTCCTTCTTTCCAAAAAACCTCACTCAACCCAGGGAAAACGGCCGGTCTCTGAAAAGAACGATGGTTGAAAAGAATGGGGAGTCAAACCCTAGAGCAATTAGCTTTCCGAAAAGAACAAAGTCCAATGACGATCTCTTGGGACGTGAAACGGGGGAAAAGAACCAAATTGGAAGGGTGACCTGTTTGGGCTCCCTTTGTGGGTGTCTCTTTCTTGAGGGTATCCATTCTGGGCACCAAAAGGATACCACCCAGTTTTGGTGCAGCATGTGCAAGAGAAAACCTCATCCCACGGCGGCGCAAAAAGAAGGCTTAGCACGGCAAACAATGGGATGCTGCAACCACTTTGCGCGCTCAAGCCAAAACATAGGAACATTGCACTTGCAGGTCGAAACAAAGGTCCAAAGAGCAACCAAGACCTTTTCACAATATCATTTTCACGAAACTTGTGCTTTGCCCATGGTGTTTAGGAAAATGCTAACGCTGGTAATGCAACTCTTTGGTGACATCTGAACATTGATTCTTTGGATGCCCAACCTGGCATGGAAGCTGAAAGAAGGCCGCTGCAATCTTGGCCCATCTCAGGTACACAGAAAATAATGAGTTTGGTTTCAGCTTCATATTAGATGTACCCAGCATAAACTTGTTTTGACCCCAGGAATGGTCGGAAGAGACCTCGGGCAAACCAAACTGAGGTCTCCCAGCTATTGATGACGACAGTTTTGTGGTGGCCCAGGTGCGAGGCGCGAGGGCATCTCTATCCCTTGCCAGCCCCTTTACTGAAACATCTTAACACAACCTCCTTTTTCGTGGCTCTGAGGTGAGGGTCCAGGTGCAACAAACATTCTTGTTTAGAAGCTGCTCATGTCTGAGGGTCCAGCTAAACCTATTTTGCCCACCCAATCCTCTTCCCCCCCACCCCCCTCCCCGCGGTTTTGGCTTAATATGAGGGGACAACATTGGTTCCACAAGCGGACATAGGAACATCCTCTTGTCCTCCTGGATTTTCTGCAAAATATATGAGGTGCCCCCCTGTCCTCCCACAATCCCTACACCAATTAAAATGCTTATTGTTAGATGGTCACATGCCAACATCTATGATTGTCCAAAACCAACCAACATGGGGCTTCATCCTCATTTTGGACGAAACTCACATGACGCCTTCCTGCTTGGCCTCAAAACGAAGCCACGGCCGAACAAAAGGCTTTCCTTCCCACGCGAGTCCCGGCGAGTCGACTGCTCAAGGCCCCGGGCGATCTTTGGCCGGGCGATCTTTGGCCGGGCAAATCTCCGCGAAGGTGGCGAATGGCAAGCTGAGAGGAAGGTACTAAAAGGTTCCCTATTCCCGGCCCACATCTGGGCGGCACAGAAAATACAGACCAAACTATGTTGGAGGAGATCCGTGTTTCAACATCACCACGCCAAAAGGAAACTTACTTTGCATTCGCAGCCCGAAGGTGATGTTTAAAACCGGCAAAAGAGGGGAAATAGGAAGCCCTATACGATTAGCACCTATAAAAGTATCAACATCAAGCTTCGTTCTGATTGTGAGAGTAAGCCGCCAGCCATTTCTCAGCCCTTTCTATCAGTGCGACTCTTTGACAGCCTGCACTGGGCACACCTGAACAGGTACCAGTTTCGAAATTGCACTCAAAGTATCTACATATATATATCCGCCGACATTGCTCGGCGTGTCGGACACCTAAGAGAGGATAGAGGATAACCCCCCCCCCTAACCCCCCCCCCACCCGACGTCTGATACGTGGGGGGGGGGGGGGGAGGGGGGGGGGGGCCCCCCCCCCCCCCCCCCCCCCCCAAGACCGCGGCACATTTGATGATGACGTTCCCCTGGGGGGGGGGGGGGGAGGGGGGGGGGGGGGGGGGGGGGGCCCCCCCCACCCCCCCCAAGGACCGCGCGGCAATTTGATGACGTTCCACTAAACGTAGTCTTCGGGGACCCGGTGTCGCAAAACAGGGGTCCCAGGCTCGATTCCCCCTGCCGGCTTTTTTGCTGGCTTGGGCTTCCTGCATCCTTTTGCCGAAAATCTGGAAAAACTCTGTGTTTTTGGACATCCTCTTTGCGAAAACGCTGGAAAAACCGTGTTTTTTTGCGGGAAATACTGGGGAGCAAAGGGGAAGTGCAAGGATACATACATACATACATACATATACATACATTACATACATACATTACATACATACATACATACATACATACATACATACATACATACATACATACATACATTACATACATTACATACATACATACATACATTACATACATACATACATACATTACATTTACATACATACATACATACATACATACATACATACATACATACATTACATACATACATACATACATACATACATACATACATTACATACATACATACATACATACATTACATACATTACATTACATACATACATACATACATACATACATACATACATACATACATACATACATACATACATACATACATACATACATACATACATACATACATACATACATACATACATACATACATACATACATACATACATACATACATACATACATACATACATACATACATACATACATACATACATACATTACATACATTACATTACATTACATTACATACATACATTACATTACATTACATTACATACATACATACATACATACATACATACATACATACATACATACATACATACATACATACATACATACATACATACATACATACATACATTACATACATACATACATACATACATACATACATACATACATACATACATACATACATACATACATACATACATACATACATACATACATACATACATACATACATACATACATACATACATACATACATTACATACATACATTACATACATACATACATACATACATACATACATACATACATACATACATACATACATACATACATACATTACATACATACATACATTACATACATTACATTACATACATACATACATACATACATACATACATACATACATACATACATACATACATACATACATACATACATACATACGAGGGAGGGAGATTGGGGAGAGAGTGGCTTGGGGGGATGGGGAGGATGGGGAGCGGAGGGAGGGAGAGAGGACGACAGAACACACCAGGGAGACAAGGGAGAGAGGAAGAAGGAGAAAAGGGAGAGGACAATGTCGGCGGACTGAGCCGGAGGCTCTAAAGTATATATATTATATCAACTGAAGAAACGTCTAATCAAACTTATGTTTATGCTGAATGTACCTGGATCCAAACCATTGTCAATACGTCGTCATACACAAGGAAACCTGGATTCCTCAAACAGGTGAATGCAAAATCAAACTACATATATACAGATATATGTATATATATATATATATATATGTAGATATGTGTGTTAGATATATATGTATAGATATGTATCATATTGAATGACCCCTTTGCGCTGCCTGTTTCTGATTGGTTGCATCCTCTGCTGCTTCATTCCCGGTACATGTGTGCTGCATCCGAGAACCAGCGGGTTTCTGACTGCAAGCCCAAGGTAGATGGCTCAATTCGGGTAAATCAAACTGAAATCAAAGTGTTGCTAAGAAGACCATTGGCTTAAACATAGAACAAGAAAATGACTCTGTATGCCAGCGTCCTACCCAGATTAGCAAATGTGCGTGGGTTGCGCTGGCGTGTCGAATAAACATCCAAATCGTTGGGTCTTATTATGCCCTTTTGCTTGCCGACAAACATGTAGAAATGAGCCATCTACTGTCATTCACTGCCACAGCTGTCATGGCTCGGTCAGAGCTGCGTAGATCCGTGCCGGACACATTGGGAAACAACGGTTAGAGGGCTTTTTGGGTGATCAGCCTGCATGACAGGGGGGCATCCACCTCAGCTTTTGCCCCCAAAATGACGTGCTAAGATTCTGGTGCATGCGTAAATCTCAACATGCAAACTCATGTTAAAACCGGGCCTGTGAGAAAGGCCTGGCAGCCGGGTCGCCTATGTTTGGCCACGTGGAGCAATTACTAGAGGCCGCTCCAAAGACCCTAAGAAAGGGACTTGATTCATATTTCGTCTACCCCAAGGGTACACCGAAAATCAGATCTTCGGATTGTGTCATACTTAGTATACTTGTCTTTCCTATTTTTTCTCCCCAAGGGGGGGGTACCTTTCTGTTTAGCCTACCTTACAATACTTTGGTTTGAAGAGGCCCCCAGAAAGTCTTACATCTGGTTGAGCTTCCCAGCGGACACGAGACGTTTTGCTCTTCGCAGAGATCCCATGCGTGTCACTGTACAACGCCGGGGCCCAGCGGGGCGTGCAAGCTTTTGTGCTCCAAAAGACCTACATGTCATGTTCATGATAGGGGTTTGTCCTGAAGTACCAAGGGAAGACATGTAGGATTGACCTTGTTTTCCTACTGTCCAAGCTATCTAGCTGGCCCACAGCTCCAGGCGGTTTCTTCCAGCTTCCAGAATCAGGCGACTTTCCGGGAAGTCCCCAACAAAACAACAGAAGGAAAGCTCAAAAGACCCACATCTTCCGCAACCATGCCCAAAGCTCCCCGCCTTTTGGGAAGTCGAAAGGGAAACAGCCTACTCACTGCAAACGAAGTGTCCCAAGGTCTGAGAGCTGACCCCTCATGTTCCATCTTGAATTAATTGGGGGTGTCCGTCCGCTTCCTTGGATGTCAAACGGACGAAAAGAACAGCGAAGCCCAGCTAACCACGCTGCAAGCCGAAGCCGGTCAAGCCGCTCGAGCATAGGTGGCTCCCATCGCCACAAGGCTAGAACATTGATTTTCAGCGGCAAACCAAAGGAAACCAACCAATAAACCAAATTACTATAGTCATATGGTTAAGAACCCCCCAACCAAACATTCGCCAAACCCCCCACATAAAACCCGAGCAATCCCTTGAACAGACTCCACCCTTCACTCTTCGAGCCCGGTGTTTGTCGGGTTTCGGAGCCCAAGGAACGCGCGTCAGGTGAGCTGCTGAAAGATGAAGCCGACGCAGCAGAGGAAGACGACCATCAAACACTGGGCATCGCTCTGGAGGGGGGTGGTGGTTGGGGTGGTTGGGGTGGTTGGGGTGGTTGGGGTGGTTGGGGTGGTTGGGGTGGTTGGGGTGGTTGGGGTGGTTGGGGTGGTTGGGGTGGTTGGGGTGGTTGGGGTGGTTGGGGTGGTTGGGGTGGTTGGGGTGGGGTAAGGGGTGGTTGGGGTAGGGCGGCGTGGTGGTGGTTGGGTGGGTGCGGGGGTAGTGGTTGGGGGAGGGGGGGGGGAGGGTTGGCGGGTGGGGGGGGGAGGGTTGGCGGGTGGGGGAGGGGGGGTGGGTGGTGGTGGTTTCGGTTTCTTCATGTGGCTTCCCTTTTGAACACCCCCCGCCAAGTTTTGGGGGGACTAGCAGGGCTGGTTGCAACATCTTTCTTCACCAAGTCATGGCCCCTTCCAGGATTCCATCAAGGAAACACAGGAGGTTGTTTGGACAAGAGGTGCCTCGACATGCAGGGGCTTGGCCCAAGCCTCAACAACGCCAGGCTTCGGTGCTGATACAAACCCCATGATGCCTATAGTCGGCTTTCAGTGATAATGTGCTTCATCCCAATGCCCATCTATGAAGAGGCAATGGGTATTTGCGGTAAATCTATGATCATAGATGCGGACTTGACATAGACATTCCCCCTATTTCCTCATTTGCTATGTCATAGATTTACCAAAGGTATGTGGGTATGTGCAAAATGTCAAACTTCATCCAAGGGCCCCAGGCCAGTTGGCAGCAGCAGCTGGTGTTCTTCTCATAGCGCATTACCTCGTTCACGCGCCTGGCAGCTATGGGTCTGCCGAGCGTCTGGGTCGCCCATGGGCCTTGGATTCTACCAAGATGCTTATAGACATTTGTATACACCGTACTCCGGAATCGGAATCGGGCTGAAGGGTGGGCCTTTACAAGATGCTGTGGCTCCAGCTCTTGGCTGTTTAATTGCGACACTGGACACGTACTCCAAATTGAAGATGGGATTTTTACGCCGCCACGTTCTGCGAGACGAATTGAAAACAGCTGAAGAGTTCTGACCTCTTCACCTATGGGGTGCCTTCCAGTCCCGAGTTCGAACCAAGGGATCGGTCGCCCCCAGAATTTCATTTGCGCAGCCATATGCTCTGTATTGCTGGTCCTTTGTCGGGACGCTGGCAAGTCCCCCATCAGTTGAACAAAACTGACTGGACATCTTGACCGAAGTGGTCCAAACTCCTGGTCACGGTTCCCAGCTAAAACCTTACAATACCAACTATACCAATAACCCCAAGGGAAAGGAATCTTTCTCACTGTCTAAAGCGCCAGGGCGTCCAATGCCAAGCCCACCAAGCGTGGTTGACCCAAGCATGGTGAGTCGTAAAGAGAACCATTGCAACCAAACTAGGGGCTGCTTAGGATGAAGGATCACTTTCCTGTGGCTGCCCTTGTGGCTCTGAGGCATTCATACAATGCACTGCGGACGCACTCGCGTCCTCCAAAAGCTAGCAATAGACTACCGATGATTCAGGATCATTCCTGTCACGCCCTTCGCGGCAACCAAGAATCGATGCTCTGACCAGATCCTGAGGTCTCCTAAAGCCGAAAGCCAGTCCTAATTGGGCTTGCTCTCCTGCAACTTGACATGAACTCCCCTCCAATGGCTATTTTGACTGGGATTCCCCAAGAGTATCACAAGACCCCAGATTTCCACCCAAAAGCCCTCGGCTCCCCAAAGCGGCCCAGATTCGGAAGGGCTCACAACATGTGAAGAGCCAGATCAAGTTATATTTGTCCGTTCTGTGGTGTGGCCCAGTCGCATGCCTCAGGTATTCTGTGGAAACCAAGCAATTTTTCATTGGACCTTCCAAGCATGAGATTGTCTTCGTTGTCAAGCCCCCTTAAAAATTTGGGAAGTCCCCCACATGTGTTGGCTTTCTTAGGTGCTGCGATATGGATTTCGCAACCATCCACAGTACCACAACAGCGCCCCCTCCCTCCCCATCACTCACCGTTGGCCTGTTGAGCAGCTGCATGTCCGCCTCCGTCTTGTCCACTTCCGCGGTCAGCGCCTGCCCAAGAGAGCCTTACCTGAGGAGGGGTCTCCGTTCCCTCGGAAAGTTGTTGGGACTTTTACATACCCCTTGGAAAAATGAACCCAGAAGGCCTGCTGATGTTCATACCCCTCTCCCCCAAAGGGGTGTATAGCCCTTATAAAGTGGGTTGGAAACCAGGGAAGCCAAGGGGTGTGAACAAGGAGTATGTACTTCCACCCTTAGATTGCTGGCATTCATCCCCCGCCCTAGGCGATCGTATGGAGCAATGTCACTCGGACACTGGTACTGATGTCTGTTCGAATCGGATCGATTCGTTCGCTTGCTATAAGACCTGGGGCCATCAAAGTTGCAGCGCAAATCTCCCCGGATACCGGAACTTCAAGCCGTCCTGTGGAGACCGAGTCCGGCTATCCCCTGCCCTGCCCAAAACGCTTATCTTGTTATTTCGCGAAAAAGCTAGCAGCCAAGAAAAGTTCACTTTGTGGGCCCAGCAAAAAACAACAACTCTCACCTTACCACCCAACCCGGGTGGTTTGCAGCCCGGTGGTGGGGTTCAAATCCCCAAACCACCATTCCAACCCATGAATTGAGGCTCACCTCAACCTGGATTCGTCAACCCCAGTTTATGAATTGGGGGTGCCTGGGTTTAGTGGCGAATCATCGGTGTTGAGCCCTCCTCAATCCACGTATGCAACATTTGCCTACATTTACCTCCAAGTGGGTCAACTGTTGGCATATAGTACCTATATGGATTGTCTGGGATAGGACTGATCAACCCCAGTTTACTAATAGGGGGTCCCTGGGTTTGGTGGGAATCGGCTCACTTTTGGTGGGAGACATCCCCCCATTGATACTGTCCACTTTGCAACCATTGGCAGCCACTGTTGGGTGGTATTTACAGGCGAATCGAATCAGAAACCAGGGTTTCTGAAATCTGTGCAATGGAGTTCGCAACCATCCACAGCATCCTCATCTACTATCTTCAACCTATTGCAAATGAGGGAGTCAGGAAACCCTCTAAATTGCCGTATGTCACCATGGTTTTGTGGTTGACACGTAGACGTATTAATTTTGTTTAAAGTTTAGCTGAAGATGAAAAAGTCGGAGACAGGACACCAGGCGGCTGCAGCAGCTGCCTGGATCGCCAGTTGCGTTTTGATTCTTCTTCTTTTTCTGTGCTGTTTTGTTTCTCCCAGGCACTGTACCCTTAATAACCGATCGCAACAGTGACTGAAAAAAGCGATCGCAACTCGGCTAGCTGCTGGGCTGCCCTCAGATCCCCCGCTAAAAGTTTAACTTTTAGTGGGTTAAATGGAAACTACCCCGAAGAAGCTGAAACGCTCAAAGGCTAAGGGGATGGCTGGGCCACCAAGTTTAGGTTGGGAATTTATGTCCACCAAGCATTTGGAAGGGTATTGCTGAATTGCTCATTGAACATCGTAGACGTAGCCAAGGTGGCCGAAGCAGGGATCCTGACATTCTACACCTGAACATTGCTTGTAAATGGTGGTGTCCAACTTTATTTTGGTGTTGAAAACGGCCACATGTGTTTCAAATGCTGGCAAAAAATGGAATTATCTCTTAAGGAGCCCTGCTGAAGCAGCTGGTTTCTTCCCATTTCCACCGCCCGCGCCCCGGATGCCCCGGGCGGACCTCCGCCCGCAGGCGCTGCCGCTCCGCGGTGGCGCCGATCTGCCGCGCCAAAGGGTCCAGGCGCCCCACGGCCAGGCCCACCTCACCCGAGGCGTAAAGCGGCGTCGCTTGCAGAGAGGCGGAGCCGAGGCGAAGAAAAAGAGACGAGGCGAAGAGAGAGAAAAACGGCCCCAAATGGGCCCATTATGACATGGTTGTGGCTGTGTTTGTTGGTTTTCCTTTTTGTTGGTTGGTTTTTGTTTCAAAAAAGAACATTTGGTTGGTTGGCTTGAAAGGGAAACCGGCCATATTTTGGGGTGCCCTAAAAAAGGCACGCCCAAATGGGTGGTGTCTCTTTTGGCAGCCTTTTTGTTTGTTGGAATGAAAAGGGACACCGAAAAGAGAACGACCATTTTTTTTGTTGGGGGGGTATTTCCCCTTTTCAAAGGGAGACTCACATAAATTTAGCCAAGCTGATGCTTCAAACAGCCAAGGGACCGCTTCCAAATGGGCGGTGTCTTTTTTGGGATGCTCTTTGCCATGGCCCCGGGTTGTCAAAATAGAGCCTTTTTGGGTGGCTTTGCAGGGAATCCACAGCCACGATCATCCAGTAGACGTTTGAAAAGTTAGTATGCGACAGCTCTCACCAAGGAAACATCCCATGTCCAGGACCGAATCAGCAGGGATTTGCATTCGCGATCCTTTGGTGGACATCCTTTTTAGAGATTCGTGTCCACCACTATAAGGCAGTCTCCATATGTTTTGTGGAAGAAACTTTTAAAAAAAATGGGGTCCCCAGAAAAGGCCGGGGATCGTGACCTGGGAATGTCTTAGAATCAGAACACCCGCTTTTGGATGGCTTTCAAGGGGGGCCCAAACGAAACCAACCAAATGACATGTCCGTATTGCGAGTGCTTTTGGAGGGAACCTTTAGGTTGGCTTAAATGGAAACAACACATGGGACAGCCCTCCCTATGCTGACACTCCTGTCTTGGGATGGCCTGCCGTTAGAAAGTCGATCCATTGCCGCTTTACCATCAGGTGATCTTATGGAGAAACGCGGTTTTCTGCGGGTAAAATGGATGGCACAAAACCAATCTCAACCTCCCATCTACTTCTAACCAAACCTATATAAAAAGGACGCCCATGCTTTACACATTCCAGACTCCCTGAAACATGGTCAAATCTTTTCTGGGAACCTCTGTTTCTCTCAACTCCCATTTCTGGGTTCATGAGCTCATGGCCACACCAGTGCACACATGAGAGGAGTCTGGTGGTTCCCTTTAAACCAATACTTGGAGGATAGCTTAGAGGATGTCACTTTACTGTACAAGGGGCATGTAAGGACCCCTCTTCAGTCATCAAGCTGACCGAGTCGCACAATGTTGGAATTGGACCCAATACCAATGTTTGGCTTCATTTGTGGATTCCTTTTCAAATCCACACTTTGCTTACACGGAAGTGGACAGGAGGGCTTAAGATGACAGCAGATGACAGCAGTCGTTCAACACCTACTGTCAGCTTCCATGATTTTTGAAAAGAGGGTTTCGCCAAGGTGGCAGCTTTTGAGTAAACAAGATGGACTCAACCACGGGGGATCTTTCAAAAGCTCCCTGGCGTCGGCGCCGAACAGTTTTCACCAAGCTGGGCAAGTAGAAGGTCCCATCGCCAGCTTTTGCCCCCAAAAGTCAGCGAACCTCGCACTGCAAAATAGACCTCTTTAACAACAACTTGTGAAACCATCGAGAGATTGAACTACAACACTCACTTGAATGGAGTTGATTGGCCAACAAAAGTTTAAACTGTTGGTTTACCACCAAAATGGTCTTCGCAAAACGTCTAGGAATTCAGAAAGTGACAAAAATGATCTGGGTGCCTCCACGAAGAGACGCCACCCTTAAAGTTTGATCCATCGTCTTTTGGTCGACCCCGGATCAATCAATGGGGTGTTCCTTCATAAAGTAATCGAGAACCCTCTGAAATGGGACCAGAGCTTCCTCCCCCAAGCTTCCATTTGCTTCTTCGCGCCCTGCATAAAAAAGGCGAAAATGTGTCCTGTAGCGATGGATTCCAACTTCAAAACCAACTCCAGTGATAGATTCCAACTTTAAAACCAACAAGGGAAAATCTACATATTTCCTGTAGTGATGGATTCTCTTCCAACCCAACAAAGGAAAATATACATACTTCCAGTAGTGATAGATTCCCTTTGAAACCCAACAAGAGGAAAACAAATATATATATATATATATATAACATATTCCTTTCAGCCAATGAAAGCAAGGTTTCGACCCAAGGCCCAAGGGCCCAAGGCCTCGTGCAGCTGCTGTTCCAAATCCTCGTCCCTGCGCTTCATAGCCGCTAGGGCGTCCTCTTCCTCGCGAAGCGAGCGCGAAGGGAGCAAGACCGAGGGAGGGTTCTATTGGTACCTCGATGTTTGTTTTGAGGGAAGCGTTTTGGCTTTGAAAGGGAAACCAAAGGGGCGCGGGGGTGCCCATTTCCGGCAGAGGTTCTAAGGTACCTCCAAGGGAAACCATCGTGGCTTCTGGGGTCCCTGAGTTGAAGACACACCCACATTTGCTGTTTGGGGGGCGAAGTGGTGACTGTACTCCAATACTTAAATTTCAAATCAAGCACCACGGCACGCCATGCAGCTGACTTTCGGCGCTTGTAGTACAGGTTTCTAGCTCTATTTCCCGGTGTGGTTTTAAATTCTAAACATCGCATGTTGGAAAAGGAAAGCTTAAACTCAAACTATTTTTGCTTTTTCGCTCAGCTTTGCCATTCGTGATTCTCGCGATTCGCCCGGTCAAAGATTACATTCTCTTGGCCAACATCTGGGGTACACAGAACACACATATGTTCAGATTGTGTTCCAAACTAATTCAGCATGTCTTCCCAAACCTCCGCAAACAAACTGAATGCCTCACTTCTTGGGTGGACTGGGCGGGCCAAAAAAGTCTAATGTTTCTGTGTTATTCAACGTGGTCTTCCCAAAGAATACAAAGTCCATCAGGGAAAGAGATTCGTGCTTTGCACCCCCACCCACACACTGGTACCAACATCTACACAAATGAACAACAAACCAGCAAATATGCCACTGACCGGTGGATCACGCCATGTAAACCAAACCAGGAAGATCCTGAGACCACTTATTCCCGAAGGCTTGGTTGTTAAATTAGGGTCTTTTTTCAGGGATACAGCCAAAAACTGCCATCTGCACAAGGGAATCCCCTGAAGAAAGCCATTACCTGTTCTTTCCTGTGATCCCCTCAAACACCTGTTCAAGAAGCCTGCCCACATTCATCCTTTCCAACCTTCAAACATCACACAAACGACAACATGATTCTATCATGGGACAAAAACAGATAAACAAACCACCGACACGGACATGGAGTTCGCAGCCCGCAAGCAAGTGAGTCACTCCAAGGGTTTTCCTACTACACCCCGGGATTACGCCCTCTTGAGAATCACCCTGGTCTAGCCTTTTTCCATGTTGGATTATGTGGGATGATGTTGGGCTCTTTCCCTGCGATAATCCCAGGGTGTCATGGGAAAATCATTAGAGACACGGGCAGTGACCATTTGGAGCCACTATGGCCATGGTTGGGTGAAGGGTCAGAACCTGACCCAAAGTCTCGCCCGTCCCTGGGCATGTCAAAATAGGCGGACACCACACATGGCAGCTTTTTCTTTCATAAAACAGGTACCAACTTGAAACGAACCTTGACACGGGTCATGAGAACCCCGGACTCATAAACCCTTGATTGATTACTAGGGAGGTGTCCACTTTCAGTGGTGGGTTCACTTTTGGAGGGTAAAAACAGATCTGGGGACAACAGTATCCGACCTCACTTCCTGAGTGGATAAATAAGCTCAGGTGATATCCCCAACAGCATGCGGTGCTCGTTTTAGTGCTCGCACCACCCCGCAGCCCTCGCAGAACCTCGCAGAAACTCGTGGAACCCTGGTGGAACCCTCGTGGAACCTTACCTCAGGGCCGCCCCGGACCACCCCGGAGCCTATCTGGGCTGAGACCCCAAAGCTTTCAGCTGTTGGGGAAAAAAACAAGTCCAAACTGTTTGTCTTCCACTAAAATGGCTGTGGCTCAAAAACCGATACCAAAATGGAACCATGGGAAGTGGAAACATGGACCAAAACCTGCGGAATTAACCCCTGCTTTTTAATTTTGAGCCATAAATGGCAACCAAACCCAACAAGTCTCAAGTCCCGGAACTCATCAATGTGAGTTGTCCTGAATCTTGCACTCGACTTAGGCTTCCAGCTCCCTCGCGGTTTCGAAAAACCCAGTGAGACCCTCAACTCAGCTCAGTGACCCTGGAAAACAAGGGAACCCTTTCTTGGGGAGGACCACCTCATAGTGGGGCAGCCACCCAAAAAAAAGAAGGAAAATGATTGGTGCCACTGCACAACTGAGTCAAGAAACAACTTCAAGTACCATCCAAGTACCAACTCCAACCCCCCCAACCCCCCCCCCCCGGCCCCCGTCTGGTCCTGAGAGGTCAAATCTCTCTTGGTGTCCTACCGAAATGCCACGTCTGCCGGCCGTGTTCCCAGCGGCAAAGGTTTTTGTTTGAAGGAAAACAAGGTGAATGATCCGTGAAAACATAAGACAAAACAACACTCACAAGCAACCTAATTTGCCAAAAGCACGCTTTCAAGGTATTGTGTTTGTCAACACGTTATTGAGAGAGTCCTTTGCTGTAAACCATGCACGTGTTTGGGTGTGTCTCAAACTAGGGACCCTCAAATTTGGCAGATGTCCTCTTGTTTCTCTTTAACAACATGCCCAAAAAGGTATCCCCAAAACAAGACACGCCCAGGAGGTCACTGTTCGCTAAACTGCTTAAACATCGGGTACCATTCCATGCTGATGGTCTTGTTGGGCTCCCTCTGAAACATATGCTAGGTATTTCTTCACAGCGACTTATGGGTGTGCCCTGTTATGCTGGAGGTTTTCCGGACGGCGCCCGCTTTTTGGAAGGTGGGAGGAAAAAACATAGCCAACGGCAACCCAAAGCCTAGCTTGCCATCGGCTGAAGAGTGCTACCACTGTTCCACAAGGTCTTCCAAGGCCAAACTTCCCAACCCCTACACCCAATACAGGTCGAATCTTTGATACACAACGGTGGTAAACTTAACCCGGAAAACCCGGATCCCCCAACAAATACCCTAAAATGGGGTGTATTTGGAGTAGGGGATAGAGAGCGACATGATTTCTACACCCCGTTCTAATGTTCGCCTTATTCGAGCCTTTCCTGTGGGTCGGGCGGGGCCCTAATGATTTGCTCTACCAAAAACATGATGATTTCCCGTCGGTTTCCCTCAACCCAAAGAGAGTAGTTTCAAAAACATGATCTTGGCCCACATCCGCAGCGCACATAATAAGTGTCTGAATTGAGTTTAACTTTTGAACGGTTTAAGCGCCTCATTTTATGGTCTTCATGTGTTGGCTTAATCAAAAGGTGCTTTACATGGGGTGACCATTGGGGAAACCCCACCACAAAAAATGACTTTCACCACCTGGGATAACATTTCCCCATGGTCACTTTGGGGCCTTTTGCGGAATATTGATCCACCCCACAATCTTGAACAGAATATTGATCAAACCCCACAACAGTTTGTATAAACAAGGGGTGTTTGCTTAACCCGCTGTCTTCGTGTTTTGCTGGAGACCCCAGTTCTCTCCGGGACCTCCAAAAGGAGCGTCCGCTGAGCGCGCGCCTCGGCACTGGCGCGCGCCGAGTCCCGGAGCTGCGGGAGATCTTGGGACTTGCCGAGCAGCGCGGGGCACGCCTCCTGCGATGGCAACAGCTCCACACAACTTGGAGGCCGTTGAGGCCTCTGCAAAAGGTGAACAACTGTTTGTGGGTGTAGTGGAAACCCCATTGCTTTCAACCAAAGAGTTGTTCAGCCTAAAGATCCAACCCAGCAGGCAAGACAAAAGCAAACTCCTGGACCCTCGAACTAAGCTTGGGGGTTGGGTCGGGGTGGGTTAGGGAAGGCTGGGTGTGGGGGGGAGGTTTGTGGGCAGGTTTGGGGGGAGGGTTGGAGGTAGGGTTGGGGAGAGGGTTCTTGAAGAGATGGGAGGAGCCCAGATGAACCATCTTGAGCCAGTCCTGGTGCACGGAAACGGCCTATTGTCTCTTGAAAGGTCATTCTTCGGAGCCCTCGAACCGGACTACCCGTGCAAATTCGGGCCAACTTGCATACCCCAAATGGACATACCCCAAAATGAGTGGTTGTGGGTTGTACAGGGTACACTTAACTTGCTTAAAACATCCCTAATAGGCCCCAATACAAGGCGTATGGGTGTGATATAGCTGTTTGGGGTGTGTAAGTTGGCCCTTAGAAACAGGTTGACAATCCGACAAGTTGGGGCATGCAATGCTTCAGGGTAGCTTGAGGGTGCCTGCCGAATGAGGGAATGGATCCACATCGTGGGGGCTTTCTGAGGAAGAACAAGCACAGCCTCCCCCCAAAACCGTCATATGCCCTACTTGAGGTGTTCGGCGCGAAAAGCTGTTGGTACCACGGGTAAAAAAACATCGGGGAGAAGAAAAAAAAAAACGCGGCCCCCAAGCGGGAGAAACCTGGTTGGTGGGTGAACAAAACCCAAGTTGGCAAACCACCGGACGCTCGGCATCGGTTTGAGTCCTCGGAGGCTCGGCCGAAGAGCTCGTTCAGCTCATCCACGTGTCTTTTGAGGATACGGATGTCCTGGAAACACTGTGGATGGACGAAATCTGTTCGCACCAAGACATGAAACCATGGTTGAAACCAGTTTTTGTAGGTATTTACAGGGGAAGTATCATTCCAGGGCTTCTTTGGTGCAGGTTTCCCCATCCACAGCATGAAATCCACGCCCCAGCCGATTCATCGGAGAATGGTTTGCGTGATTTAGGCCTTTATTGTGTTTTGATCCAAGAACCCCATCACAAAAACCTTGCCTGGATCCAATTGGTCTTTAGGCACAGTGCATGCAGTGCAACCGCGCTTGTTGGATTCGGCGAATCCTTGAAACCATAGGGTCCGGTACTGCGGCATTTGCGGTACACAGAAAGTAAACTTGTCCGATGCTTGATAGTTAGACTAGCCTAAAATCTAACTTAGTTTTCGCAGAGACCCCAGATGGGTTTAAGTGCTGGGGGCAAGCTTGCATAGGTCGCTACCCTGGTGTTGAGGGGAAAAGATATGGTTGGAGCACGGAACCCCCAGGGGCAGCTGCCCTCTTTCTACCGCAGCTTTTGACCCCCCAACCACGAAAAACATACTTTCCACATTCTATTCTTACAATGCAGGCAAATGTCAACCGAGATCCCAGTTTTATAGAGGCATGATTCCATCTTAGTTGGCGGATGTCCACCAACCATGGCTCACTTTCAGTCACAGCCGGGGGTAGGGTCTGTCTCGAAATAGGGGACCCAACAATGGCTGGCTTTAAAGTTCCTAATCTTGAGACACATCCGAAATGGGCGCTCCTTTTTTGCAGGGGACCTCTCCCCCCAAATTGGTGGTTCTCCTTTTTATGGTCCTCCAACACCACCAAAACTAAAGGTAGCTCAATGGCTAGCTTTAATTCCCTAATCTTGAGACATATCCAAATGGCAGTGGACCATGCCAAGTTTGGTAGGCCCCCCTTGGCCTCGCGCCTGGTACCGCGCTTGTAGCTCCTCCCTCTTCGCCTTGGCGCCCCTCTGGTTCTGAGCCTAGACGAGGGAGCGACTCACGCGGCGGACCACTTGAAACCATGCCACTTTGGGTGTGTCAGTTCTTGAGGCTACCCCATAAAATGGGTGGGTTGAAAAGGGAAACCAAACGGCAAACCACCAATTTTACGTGTGCCCGATTCTGAGACAATCCCTCTTGGGGCTCAAGGTACTTAGCAAGTTGTAAACATGGTTTAAGTGGGACTAACCCCAGGTTCCCCAGTTATGACCATGGTCATAACCTGCTTACCTGACGTTGGTTGAACATAAAAGTAGGGAAGCTTCTGAATTCTTTCCGGGGATCCTCGTTTTCCGGAACCCATCAACCACCCCGGGGAAACAGCTGGTTTATGAAAAGAACGATGATCGACAAAAAGGAATGTGGAATCAATCCATAGAACCATCAATGTTGAATCACAAGAAGACCATACGGAGATACCAATCCACAATTCTGCGCACCCTCTCAAGACTTGAGGTCTCCTCAGACCCGTGTTAGGTGCTTCTTTCAAGGTGCTTCGAGCCAAAGGAATCTAGCCATCTATCAGCCTTCCGCTTGTTCGGCGCCTTAAATCGAACCCGGAGGACATTGCCGACGCCAACAGCTTGGGGCATTCCGCGACATCTTCCGGCGCCTTCTTATGCAGCGCCTGTAGTTTCGGCAGCGCCCGCCTGAAGGCAACAAATAAATCGGATGGGAGACTCCCCCAGAACAAAAACACAAAGCTCTGACACACACACACACCCACACACACAGACACACGCAGACACATACACACATGGGGTTGCCTCAAAATGAGGGCACCCAACAAAACGCTCCTCTCCCTCTGTCACATGACATGGGGTTTCTCTCAAGATGAGAGCACCCCCCACTAGGGTTGGCCTAACAAAAATCAAACAAACCGATGAAGCTTCCCACACACACACACACACACATTGGACATGGGGTTGTCTCTCAAATGAGGGCAGCCCCAAAATGGTTGGCACCCCGAAAATCTAAAGCTAAATACAGAGGTGTGACGTTTTAACCGAGGGACTCTTTGGTGCATATCATGTAGGTGGGGAGGAATGTCCAACCGCCACTTTGAAGGTGGTACCTGTATTTGGTAGTTGGGATGGTTTGGGGACTGGCACCCCAGGTTTCTGCAAAGAGAATTCATTGACTCTCAATTAAGCTGACCGGAAAACCAGCCACTGCACGGACCCTTAGGACCTTCTTGACCTTCCAATTCACATCGAAGTCAGGTACCCCTTAAGGGCAAAGTGTTGGTGGCCTGGGTTGGTTTGGCGAATTGAACCCTGGTTCTTTACGAAAACAAGAAGAAAGCACTTTCACAAGCAAGCCAAAAGAAAAGCAAACAATTTACACTGGCTCTTCGATGTTCAATCCCGAACTGGTTTTGGTTGGTGGATTTCGCGCCCCTCGTTCAAGGGGAAGCGCCCCAATCTCCAAAAAATGACAAATGCCCTGAAACAAGTGCCTTGGAGGAAGAGTTCCATTCAAAAGGAAGCTTCTCGAACGGATGGACTCTTTGTAGAAGGGCAACCAAAGGGAGACTAACCAGTCCCCTGCTTGGAGAAAAGCCAAAAACTCGCCAGTAGATTTGGAAGAGTTACAGGCATTGTACAGCACAGTGCAAAGCCTTCGTTTAAACAACGGCCCCTTTGCAACTTTGTCAAGGCCATCAGCTGTGCATTTGAGCGGGTCGGTTTGGTTCGAAGCGGCAGCAAGTCGAGCACAGGTGAAACATCCAGACGCCATGACTCGTTTCCACATCGAACAGCTTCTCCGGATCCGCCAAGGTCTGGTTCAAGCCACCCTCATTCCATGAGATGTCAATTGCTGACGGCTCTATCTTTGTTCAGATCAATTGGTCCTCCAGAAACAAATTATCTGCAACCCAGTTGCGGCTTAAGGCGTCCTACGCGCAATACCATGTGTGGCATGTGGGTAACTATCCAATCGAAGGAAACACAGTCCAACTCAAGCTGCCCAGCAAAAAGAGCAAGATCTGTATAAATCTAGACATCTAAAAGTCCCGAACATCGCTTGGAAGAAAGCTCATATAGCGGATTGGCTTTGGAGTCTTCTGGGTTTGTCGTTGGACCCCTTGCCTGGTTTTCGCAGGGGTTCCTTTCTTCCAGGAAGCAAACTGGGCAGGATTTTTGTTTTTTAAATCAGGGGTCAACCGGTGGGGGAACGAAAATTCCAAGAGAGATACTTCACTCCCAAAGAGCACTGTGGAAAACTGTAGATCCCCTTGCAACCCCCCAAAAAGAAAGTATGAAGTCCATGACCTCCATTTGCTGAAGTCCCCCGGAATAAATATAAAAAAGACTCCCAATAGTGATAGCCTCCCTTCAAAGCCAACAGGGGAAAACAAGCAAGTGGAAGTTTAAGGGACCATTTGGGGTGCGTCCCCATTTTGAGCCATACCTCCAGAACCTTTTCGGATGGAGTCTTGGGATTCCAGGCCTCAGCTCTTCCAAGGCCTGCCGCACAGAGTTGCCCTTCTGGATGGTCTCCTTCAAGTTCCGATGCCCCGGGGCCCAGAGAAAGACACACAAGCGGCCCAAACGAAGTCTCTCGCAACCAAAAGCCATGTGCTCAATCAGGGCGTCTCTAAAAAACGGGGTTCAACCATTGAAGGTATAGGGAAAGGTGAAAAGGCCAGGCCGTTTCAAGAACTTTCGACTCGTACTGGGGTGACGTTTGGGTGAGCCAAGTTGGAACAACACAAAACGGCCAAACCATGCCAAACCTTACTACTATAACCAGCTGCTAAAAACCGACAGGCTTTCGCGCAATGCTCCTTTCAGGCTAATCCCCTTTAGCAAGGGAGTTCGTCTCAAGATGGGAGGGAACCCTGCAACATGGGCAGTTTCGCCTCTTTGCCTTTAGCCTCAAACAAAAACCGCACTCAAAAGATTGGTCCGAACAGTTCCAGAAATGTTGCACAGTACAACTACTCTGCAACAGCTGAATTCAGGGATCCCCAAGTAAAGGACCTTTATCCTGGCTTTCACTCGTTAGACCGCCGAATCGGTGAGCTCGGTGTAAAACAGGCATATATTTAATACTGAGAGTTCGTGAGGTCAAGGGGTCCTTTGCTCACAACAAAGCTGCAGATTGTGGTCCTTGCAGTTGCCGCGCTTGCTCAGCAGCGTCTGCCGCTCGTGGATGTCCCTCCGCGCTTCTTCCAGCAGCACATAGACCTGGTGTCCCGGGTGAAAGCGCCATCTCTATCAAGTCGGAAACTCAGCTTTACCGGCCCAAATATTATGCCTTGTTCAACTCCACAAGTCAGCTTTCTGTCCAATTGGTGGCTGGGATTGGGTCTCAACAAGAACCAGGGCTCAATTCCCCAAGCCACCAATCCAAACCATCAAGTAAGGGGTGCCTGATTGATGGTCAACATTTTGTCCACCAGCTTAGTCACTAGTTGCGTCTTTCGGCTGGGGGCATGTCTCTGATTCAGAAAACATGTACGGGCGAACTGGGCCCAATCTGGGGCTTAGATGCCTCCATTGACCTGTGCAACCAAAGGGGGAACTGCAACCAGACATGAATTGTCAGGAAAATGTCCCCTTCTGTTGAGAGTGGCGGGATAGCTCCTGGCGAATTTCTGGACCTGCCTGCGCTTTGTTGTTTGCAGGAAAGCCTCTGTTCGTGTTTTGAAAGCTTTGAACAGGGGCTCAAGCCAAAGGATGATAAGCTCAAGTCCAGGGCAGGTCAGCTCATTTGAGCCAGAATCAAAACCTGGAGTCGACATTCTCTACCCAAACCCTTGCAAACAATCAAAGAGGCGGCCGCGCAAAAAATATGCGTCCCTTGCAATTCTCTATCACCCACCTAAACCCCCGGTGGTTTGAGGGAAAAAAGGGCACCCTTTTCGTTGATAAATTGAAATTAACGAAAATGCCCTCCGCCAGAAAAAGAACACAGGAATCCACCCTGAATTCCTGGAACAAGGAGAATCTCACTTCCGATCGAGTGCATTGGCCCCAAAAAAGTCTAAACTGTTAGTTGCCACCAAACTGGTCCAAACCCAAGAAGTGACTAAAGTCCAGGAACTCAGGGAGCGAGGTGATCATACCATGATTCGCGTGCAACTTCAAGGAGTTCTCGAAGGCCCCCCCCCGAATGCCCGAGGTCTCCACGCGCTGCTTCAGTCGCAGAAACTCATCCTTCGGCTGATCCTCGCAAGCTGGCGACGTAGACGCTGGGCTGGGTCCCATTCAATGTGGGAGGGTGCCACGTTTTGATGCCTCTCAGTATGAAGGCAGTTTGAATGACCCCGAACTGAACGGTTCATCCAACAGCCTCTGCCTAGGGCATAGGTGCCCTGAGAACCAGCAGGAAAAATATTCTGCCCTTGAGAGGTTCGCTTCCCCCTTCTTTGCAGCCAGAGGTTTGCACAAGGGTCCGACAATCATGGAGTAGCAATATGAGCTAGCCATGACTAGGAGCAACATGATGGGCTTGAAGTGTCAGTTGGTGGCTTTGAAGAAGGTAAAGCCTATAGGGTCTTAGAACTTGCGTTTTAACTGACTCCGGGGCAAAATGTGTGATAATCAACACGTCTGGTTCCTGGCAGTTTCTTGAGCTTCCGTTTAAGTTCCCCTGAAAAAACAAAAAAACGGTCCTCGCCCACCCGCGCGGGAAGCAAAAGCAAAACAAGTGAGTCCTGCTTGGGCTTCTGATCGCAGGCTTCGGCGATCTGTTCCAGCCGCCTGGCGTGTAGGTTTTTGGAGGTGATGGTAAGTCCTAGGTGCCCCGGACTTACCTGAGTGGGGAACATACTGATGGACGCAATCCATTTTGCACCACCCTTCAGAAACTGTAAACATCAACAAACAATGGTTGCAACCTTGAGGCCGTATTCGGAGCTTATCCTTGGCTTCTCCAGACCCGTAGCTCAGCTCTGATGTTGGCAAGTGTTACGTTATACAGCAATCCCAACTTGATACGAAACCGCATCAACAATGGTATCCCAACCCCCAACCAGATCACTTCCGTTCCCCAAAAATCTGAGGCCTTAGCACACAAGAAGATCCATGAAGGGATCCCGGGGTGCCTGTTTCAATAACAACAGAAAGCGCCCCTTCAAGCCCCCCTCCCCATTCTACCCTGCTGCCAAACCAAACTACTACGCTTGATTCTGGCCCGTAATTGGAAAAGCTTTTCAAAGCAAAGTAAAACATTGGTCAGAACTCTGCCATCCTTGCATCAAGTGAAATGTCGGAGTGGTACAGGTCAGTCTTCCCCCTCTAAGCATCACCCTGGCAACAAAACACTCGCCAAAAGGCGATGTGCCAGGCACCGAAAACGACGGCATGCAGGATGGGACCTTAGAGATGTTAGACACGGTCTCACCCACCAACGCATTCTCGGAAGCAACGGTCATGACGCACACGCAAGCGATCAGCACCCGAAACCTGACCGCAAAGGTTCATAGGCGCTCAGGACTCTACGCGTATGGTCAAGCTGTCATGTCTCCCATCCATTGCCGCAACTCAAATTCCTTATGACCATACCTACCATCGCCAAGTCATTTAGATCAAGCAATGCTGAGACGGTGGGGACCGTGGACATGCTACGTGTTGATTCTCATGATTTTCCGCGTGGGGGGCCATCGCGCACCAACTGCTTGAAAACGTGTCCCTGAACACCCCCTTCAGACAAAATTAGATGCCACCATCCGCGTGGCGCGACATGAGAAACTGGCATGGGGCTAACTTCCCGTCCATGGAATCGCTCGTTCTACCCCAGCTCGAATCCTTTGTCCAGGAAGATGTGGGGAAGGCTTTTATTGGGGCCCAGCACGCCCCTCCCTCTTTCCTTACGTTTGGAGGGGATCAGAGCTAGAACCGAACCGATTGAACTGATCCTCCTGGCCGGGGAGCTTTGCCCCATCTCAAAAAGGATATCTGAAGCAAAAAAAACTACACCAATTGCAAGGCTGGAAGCCGTAAAGAAACTTTTCCAACCTTTGGGTTGCCGAGCCTAGGATTCAAGAAACATGTCTATCCCTGTGGTTCTTTACTGCAGATCAGGGGCTTTTCGAAGTGAACACTGTTGGCGCCACACACGAAGACAAGAGATCACAGTTCAAGAGCTGAAATCTGACTTGGAGAAGTCAGTTTCGGGAAAACCAGTTCATCCAGTTGCGGCGGGTGTCTCTTTCAGGGGACCCCCCCCCCCCCCAAAAAAAAATGTGGGGTGTCCTGTTGGTTTTTTGTTTGAAGCCACGCAAAACAAGCTGGTTCCAACGACAAAAAGGCTCCAGCTCCCCAAAGAAGACGAGCCAGCCACGCACGTTCTACTAAGCACGTCCGGGCGGCTTCACCAAATCACCGATGCCATGGAGCAGCGGCATGGCATCACCGGACGGCCTTCTTCGGCCCAGACCTGGGCCTTCGGCCCGGCGGAAAAAAAAAATCGAAGCTCTGCTGCCTCTGACAGGGGCTGGAGTTGCCCAAAGCAAAAGCTAAGGTCAACTTACTGGTGGTGTCCATTGGAAAGATCAAAAGTTGAGAGAAAGTTATTGGTGTCCACTTAAATTTGAGACAATTGCCCACTTTTGGAGGTTCCAGAAAGGGAAATGGAGGAAACCCTGTCTGAACACCAGACCAGCATCTCGGTTTTGTCCCTGGCAAAAAAGCATGAAGCCAAGAATTGTTCTCAAAGTCTCTGTTGTTTGCTGCAAAGGAATCCGCTGGAGGCCGAAATCCAGCTTCGAAGTCCAAAACAGAAATCGAAATCGCTTTGCAGTTGAAATCAATGTTGCAGCCGTTCAGCTGACCTAGCAATTTCTCATGGAAGCCGGCATCCTAGCAATCCAACGTTTGCCTCAGCCAAAAGGTCAGAGAGGGTGATTCAAGCTGCAGGCTGAAATCACAGTCTTGACATCCAAAACATGTCCCTTTCCCCGAAACTCATGGCAACTGGTTGTTCACTCCTCCCCCCCTCCCACCCGGCCCCCCCAATTTTTGTCCCAAAACGCTACAAATTGGGATCCAACTTTTCCGACTTGCAGGTCGGGAGTGGATCCCATTGTTGGGGTGTCCCCTCCCCTCCAAAAAACGGGTTTCTACACATGGAGTCCATGTATTTTCAAGAGTGGAAGAGGGAGGCGGACCGAATTCTTGCTTGCAACCCCAAAAGCCGTGTGGAGCTGTTCACACTTTATGCCGGAAAGCTTTACACGCCCATGGGGTTGGCAAGTTGGAAACGGAACCGAGGAACCGGTATGACAATGGGGAATCATGTACTTGCACTCAGAAGGTACGTGGCAAGTCAACCCTTCCAGCCACTTTGGGGACGGGACCCAGTCAATCTCATACTTCTCCCTCTCCGAGTTAAAATTTGTTCTTCCCCGATGGTCGAAGCTCCGAATGACTGGGTCATACTCATAGCATCCTTAGGACGCCCCTTGCAGTGGTTGTCTAAATCCGCTCAGGGTTGAGAGCTTAGAATCAGGGTACCAACTTTTGCCTGTAGCCTATCTTAGGGTCCCGAACCCTCCCAATGAAGAAACGGTGAGAAAGTGCACTGGGGGACCTAGGATCATGACGCCGTGCAACTTGGTTCCCTTGTCTCGGCAGGGTGTCCATCCCAAGCCATCTCCCAGGCCGGTGGGAAAAAGGGCACTCGTTTGGTTGGTAGTACCCCCCCCAAAACACAAGAAACAAAGGGCAACCCAGCAGAGGCCCCCCTTTTCTTTTTAAGGAAATAGGTTCGACGGCTGACCTAGTCTACCATGAAATACACAATCGTATTGAAAGAGACCCCTAAGCTGAACAGTTTGGGGAACTCCCGGCACCCAGGTAGCCAATGGGGAAGTCACACAACCAAGATCCGTGCCTCGCGGTTTTCTTGGTGCGCTTCGCCGTCGTTTCCTTTTAAACCAAGCCCCCAAAAGGGTACCCGCAGAAAGGTATACCCATGTCCAGGTCAAATCAACTGGAGGTCAAGCTTTCTTGGGGAAAAACAGATCTGTAGAATACATTGGGTCAGTATCGATAGACACGTTGAACAAGATGTCCATCCCCTTCTGATAAGCCATTGCGCATCTCATGGATCAGGCTAGCACATCTTGTCGCACCTCTAAACAACGCAGACCCACCCCCCCACCCCCGAGTGCTTCCAGTTCCTACAGTGGGTAGCCAGGGTGTTCCATGCTGGATGCCCTGAAAATATGCAAGCAATGAAACACGCAAACTTGCTCAGATACCAGCAAACACAACCTGAGCGTGTCGCTTGCCCCCCCCCCCCGCCCCCGCCCCCTCCCAAACAGAAAGACGTAGCCACATCCCTGTGTTGCTCTTGGCAACATGTTCCTGAACAGCTACTCTCATGTCGCCACTGTTTCCTCCCCCATGTTGCCCATGTTTCAGGCGTGCACATGTATTCGCTTGCATTCGCTTACAGATTCTTTGGCTTACGCAATGCAATCCAAGCTGCTCCTCCTCCAGTAAGAAAATCACAGGATTCTCCATGGATTTCCCCTTCCCGTTGCCAACTCGCTGGCTTCGATTGCGCAACGGGGGGTGACTTTTCGATCGCAGAAAAGTTCCGCCACCTTCCGGCGTGCCTTGGGCATTCACCTCATTTGAAACGTGAAGCGGCTGCACTTCTTCGGGGGGAGGGAAATCTAAGGGTTTTTCAGGGCTCATTTGGGTTCTCTCCGCGTCCCCTCCCCTCCCCCTCCACCTCCCCCCACGAAATCGGCTGAAGCACGCCCCCGTGAAACTTCTTAGAGAAGCGAAAAGTTTCATGGCGTAGTCATGGCCCTTTTCCTCCACACCAGGGCAGCTGCCTTTCAACTGACTAGCTAGCATACCCGACCAACAGGTAAAGTTGGCACATTAAAGATGTCCCATAGGTGGGAAATCCACAAGGGGTCCATGTGCTAACTGATTTTTGCTCCACCAAACACAAACGACTTCAGCCTCGCAGCTTCTCATCCAAAGATTGAAACCGTTCAAATACGGGCATTGATCAGCTTCAGCCATCAGCCGAAACCGTCCGAATGCGGACATCTCAGTCTGATCAGTCTGATCACTCAGCCAAAATCAGGGCCTGCATTTCCAACCTCAAAACATCTCAAAACCTTACTCCAAAAGCAATCTCACTTCAAGTTGGCAATGTGATGTGTTGATGTGCGAAATTGTTGAATTCAACCTCATCCTGAAAATGGATTTGTCTCATGCATCTTCAAAGAGCTTTCAGCACCTCCTCAGCCTTGGGGTGCAACGACAACAGATTGTACTCCCCGATCTTCTCACTCTCCCACTGGGCGATGCTCAGGCCCTCTTTCATCACCTCCACCGCCTTTTCCACATCCTCATGGCTCATTTCTTGGTTGCTGTTGACCCCCCTGCAAAAGCTTAACTTGTTGGGGGTTTAGTGGAAACTAATGATCAAACCCGATAGCAGTCAATATTTTTTGGTCAAGGATATGGACCAAAGGTTTGAGCAACACCCCATCCAGGGCACCATTTTGGGGTGAACCTATGACTTGACCCACAGACAACTGACAAAATCCCACAAGCTTTGGCAAATCCAGGCTTTGGGCTGATCTCAACAGTTTTGCCCTCAAAATCTGTGGGGTTCCTCTTGTTCCCCGAGAAAAACATCATTCACCAAAGGGGCACTATCAATGAAAGAGACACATGTGTAAACAGAAGGGTTTGACATGGTGCCCTCCCCATAACCCAGGGATCAATATAAAACATACTTTAGCCCCCGGAGGTTTCGCGCTTTTTCCGCGACCTTAGCGGGCGCGGCGAGCGCCTGCCGCACTTTGGCAAGGTCAGGTGCGAAGGCCGCGGCAGGAGCCGAGCTTTTGCAAGCAGTCACAGCATGCTTGCGAGGTCAGGTAGATAGACAGGTACATGAACAAACATATAGATAGATGTCGCTAAATGACACAAATGTACATGGATAGCTAGAGAGATAGATGCTTTGAAAATATAGGAAGGTAGATAGATGGGTAGAGAGAATACACAAAGTGAGATTCAGCGGAAAGAAAACGATGGTACTTCAATTAGATTTCAATTTAAACCATAACTTTATATCGAATTATAATTGACATAAGGTGTCCTTTCCAGGTAAGATTTTAATTGGGACTCAACAAGGAATCTACAAGAACCTTCAAAGGATGGAAGATGCAAATTCCATTCCAATTGGTTTGCTAGCTTCAATTTACAAGGCTCTAAGTCTAAATGGGCTTCGATTAGAATTCAATTCAAACTTGTTTTGGCGTAGATTCAAGCTCTTTTTGAGTTAGATGTTAAATAGGTATGTCTTTCGATAAGTTCGGCTAGAGTTAAATTAGATTCCTTATTCTTGATGATATTTTTCAATTCTAAGTAGGATCTCCAAGCAAGGTACTACTAATCAGAACTGATTTGGTAGAAGCTAGTAAGGAAAGGCAAGCTGGTCGTTCCTAAAACCAATCAACTATAACTCTGGTTTTGACTCAGAATTCAAAACGTAAATCCCTTCTAAGTATCTAAGATTCTTAATGGTTTAATAGTTTATGTAGGAATGAATTATTGGAGTTCTTGTTTTGAGTTAGATGAAACATAGGATGCCCTTCCAAGTAGGACATACGTAGAAATCAACCGAAAAAATAAGTACATTTTAGATCTAACGGCAAACCTTCGATATAGTGTAAAACGAAGGGCCTTGGGCCAACATCGACTGAGTGGACCCCCCAAAAAATATCAACAGGGCCCTTCTAACTTGGGCCCCTGCATACGGACGAAAAACATCCGCAGTCCTCGGGCTCCTCTTTGGAATGCGCAATGGCGCCCATCGCCAGTCGGATGCAGTTCTGGAAGTTGGCCTCCCCCAGCCTCCGCAAAAACGTCGACGAGGTCGTTGCGCGGTTGTGCGCGTTGTGTGGGGGCCTATCCCGGGTGTGGGTTCCCTGCCAAACCCGCCCGGCATTTGGTCCAGGAGTTCGTCCGGGCATTGGGACGTTTCTTGTTGCCCGGTGTGCGCTGACAAGAAAACACGACATGTGTTGCTGCAGAACCGTTTCTCTCAAGTTCTAGCCTGCTTGCTCAGTGTGTTGGACATCGAAGTAGGGCTCCCGGAACAGGAGGAGGGCTTTCCATATAGACCCCGTCTTGCAGGTTGGGCCACCTGCTGAAACATGTTACAAGTGTATGTCCCCTTTAAACTTTAAACATCACCCCACCCAAAGCAAAGTCATTGGTTGGTTAAAGTCACTGGTTGGTTGGCTGGTTGGTCGGTCGGTCGGTTGGGTTGTTTCAATACGTTATTGCCAAACAGGGGATAGAGCGATTGCGCCTTCGTCTCGAACTAAGGGGAACCCCAAAAATGAGTGATTTTCGTTCATCCCCTGAACAAAATCGTCCCAAACCAGGGGCAGCTTCGTCTCTATGTCCCTTTCAATTCCCTCTGAATCCCAGCCTTTCAAAGGGTAATGCGAGAGAGCAAACAACAACCATCAACATCGAACTGTGTCCCATGACCCCATTCCAATATTTAGGCGAATGACAAGAGTAGCCTTTACTTCCTTGGACAGGGACAACTCGTGGTGAACTGAACACAGCACCCTTATAGTATGATTTGTTTTAGTTGGGAAAGCGTGGGGAGTGTATGTCCACCAACCATTTTGGAGGCCATTCAAACTTATAGCCCCGCCTCCTTTAGGAAAAAAACAGCATCCGCCAGAAGAACGTCCCCCAAACTTGATTGTTGGTTCTACCAATCTGGTCCTAAATGTTCACATTATGGGTGTGTGTTTTATGAAGGTGCCCGTTTTGGGTCAACTTGTGCGGCAAACCAACGGGAGACCTCAACTTTCGGGGGGGGATGTCCTATTCTGAGACACCCCGTAACGGCTTCACTGCCCTTTTCGGATGGCTCAAAATCGACACCAAAAGGACCCCCATATCAGCTTGGCTGCCATCCTCATACCGGATGGCCTGGAAGAAATTCATTGCGCACCACTTTGAAACCACCGTTGACCAACGTGGAAACGCAACCAGCTCCACGGGCGCTGCCACGTCGAAAAAAACAACAAAAACCAGACTGTTGCGAAATGCTAGGTCCTCCAGTAGAGAGATTAGAATAAGGGTGTATTCTATTTTTGGGGGGGAACCCTCCCCCAACAAAAGGGTAAAAGGGCACTACTCGGGACCCAGAATGGGTTTCGCCACCGTCGACCGCGCGGAGGCTTCGCCTGGCCAAAGCCTTAGCGCTGACCTGCGTGGCCACGTGATCCATCACCTCCTCCCAGTCCTTGTCCTCGAGCCCACTTACCCGGGCCCTTTTTGTCGGGGGTTGGTCTGGGGGATGACTTGCCGGCGCTCAGTAGAAGTGAGAATGTTGGGAATGAACCGGAAGGGGATTCGCCAAAAGGAAAATATAGGGGAGGGTTCAAAGGCGTCATTCGCGAGAATCAGCACGATGAAGGGATAAACCTTTATCCAGCAGAACAACCTTGTCAGACTAAATATGCCTGTCCACAAAAGAGCAACCGCGTGTGCAGATTAAATTGACGGAAGGGGTTTCGATGGAACAGGTTCTTGTCTTGAAACATCTTGTCTTTGGCTTGGTGATTCGTTGTGTTTCACCTAGATATATGGGTGTTTTTCTTCTTTGAGGATACCCCTTGTTTGGTGAAACCCCCGACGCATTGCGTGAGCATGTTTAAATCTCCTGTTGGTTTCCCTCCAGAATAACTGGCACCTGGTTGGTCTAACAAGTTTTGCCATCCTTGGGGAGAGAAATGAGTGCGATGATATGATTGGATCCACAGTTGGTGAGGGCACCAACTCATTCACCACGTTGTCTTGACCAACCGTGGTTGTGGCAAATAACCCTTGCGATAACGTGGGATTGTCATCCCCATCACCTGCTTTATTGTAGCGATTTCCTTGCCGTTGGCCCCTAAGACTCGCTTTCTACAGACAATACGTTTCTTTACTTCAAAGCAAATCATTGGGTTTTGTTTTTAGATGCGCATAAATACTTCTCGTTGTATACATATGTATATAATATGTACCCAGAGCATCCAATGACATTGGTAAACATTGGCTCACATAAGTCGAGTGCAATTTCACGCTCATTCACGCTGTTCGTTTGTTTGCCTCTTGTACTGCCACTGAGCAGTGGCCAGGACAGCCAGTGAGGCAGCCGCTCGAGCTGGGCAGTGCTTCACAAGAACACCTCCGCTTCACTTCAACGAGCGCTGCTATTTCGCAGCTTGCACGGGTGTGCGCACGCCCAAGGTTCATGCTCATAGCTTGCAGTGAGGGTTGTGTTTCTGCTGGCCGCCGCTTGGCCGCGCAGTCGTGTGTGATGTATGTGTGTATGTGCGTGTTTCGTCCTGTGACGTGCGCCGTGAGCCCAGGATGCAGTTTCGCCTCCATCATATATTTTGTGACGAAGATGGTATGAAACCCGTAGCCCCGCAAACAATCGAAAGGTCGACGCGAGCGCGACATTGCTCGTGTGGCCCTTCTGCAATGTCTCACGCAGGCTCAAATCGGTCGGATGCCAAAGCTTTTCAACACCTCTTTTCAGATTTTGGGAGCTCCCACAGACTTTCCAGAGTACCGATCGATTGGGCTGCCCAGATGCTTTTGGGCTCATCATCAGTGCAAACAATATTGCGCACAGCTGGGCTCACTCCTGCCCAATGGTGCGGCCGAGACGCAGAACCTCGAGGACCGGCCCAGATTGCAAGGCCGTCATCACTGATACTCGGGAGTGAATTTAACTTCAGAGTACTAGGGGAACTGGTGCACCCTTAGGCCGGTGCAAATCACACACTTTGCAGGGCTCATAGACCGTGCTCAGACGGCGCGTAGACGTAACACCATGTCGATTGCCCGACTCAATCGATGTGAATGTATGCCATATGGCTTGCATGAACATTTCGAAACGTGCCAAAGTAACCTCCATCCAGGGTGTACATGCACCTTGCGCGCATATCGCGCATGGAGCATGGAGGTTTCTTTGTCACATGCATACAACTTGGCAACTTGCGCCACCAGGCCTCTGGTTACTCTGAGACCAACTGGCAAACATATGCCCCATTCACGCATCATTCACAGGTAGACACCGTCTTTTGGGTTAAGCACCGGGTGTCCGTCAAGACATAGCTTACTGACGTCTTAGATTCACTGGGTAAATAGATGCATATATACAACCCAAGCAAATGACTGTTTGAAACTTACGTCCTAAATTTAAAACCCTGGTCCTGATAGGCGTCCCACATCTCGTGGTGGTCCTCACGTAAGTTGAAGCTGAAAGCCCCGCGCAGCTTTTCGCGAAGCGCTCAAGGGGACTGATTTCCAGGGCTCCTCCCTCGACCCGGGTTTTGGACATGTCCCTGGTGCGAATGGAGTCCTTTGGCTTCCCTGTTCTCTCAATACTACTTGTCGGCTATATCAGGAGTTTACTCCAAACATTGACACGCTCCATAGGTCCATAAGCCGTTCTGTTTCTTGAGAAACTCCTGCCAAGTACTTGCATCTGCATAGACCGAGCTTGAAGGAGACCAAAGTGGATCCATGTATTGGATGGCTATAGTGTCATCAGAAATGCAAGCTTTTGATCTTTTGGAGAAATCATGAGATTTGCCCGTAGCAGGGATAGACTCAAAGGAACCGAACAACGACAAAGGCAAACATCGTGGCACTGAATGGGTCCAGGGCCAAGAAAGGTCATGCTGAGTCAGAGCCGTAGCCTGTGGGGGGGAGGGGGGAACAACCCTTGCAAGGCTTGCAACCCTAATTCGAACTAATTCTAAGTGGCACAGGGATTCAAGTGCAAACATACTACAATTTTCCAGGTTTCACGTGAACCTAAACTAAAAAAGTTATAGCACATAACAGCGCCTTGTTGCTAGGTCCCATGCAACGAATCCTCTAACCAAAACTACGAAACTGCATGAACCCAAACCCGCTTTCTAGACGCAACCACGAGGCTGAAAGACTTGCTGATACTGGGACGAACCACCTACCAATCGGTGCAAAGTGGAACCCCTCTCAGTTTCCCTCGAAAACCAGACACATACCGTTTTTGCTCTGGGTATGTCTCCAAACGAGGGGAACCCCCCTCAGAAAAAACAGCAACAAAGGCGACGGCTTCCTCTTGACTTCCTTCGAAGGGGCCGCAAGAACAGAGTCCTTCTTGTTCTTGCTCTTGGTTAGTGAAACATTAGAAGCCCTGCGCTTCCGGGTAAGACCAAGGTGAAGCAATTCCCAGCTCCCAAGAAAAGAAGGCAAGAGCATGGCCCGACGTCTCGCGCCGCGACGTCTCCTCGATGATGGAGATGGCGGGTTTCTTAGGCTCAGGCGGCGCATCCTCCGTGTCCTTCTCCTCAGCGAAGGCCTTCCTGAGCGCACGTTGCCCAAGCCCGGGAGGGCCCCCAAAAAAGAGAGTTGGTTTTCCAGTAGGTTCCCTTTCAACCGACCCCGAATACCCTCAACAAAAAGCAAGCTTTTGGGACACAGAAAGGTCCTGAGAAACCAGTTAGGACAAACATTTGCCTAAAAGATTGAGGACAAAGCAATAGTTCCCAGAGCGTCCAGGAACAAAGAATCAAGCGAGTTTCATCCCCAAAGAATTGGCCACCGAGTGTATAGCTTGAGCCAACTACAACTGGCCTTCAGTGGAACACATATGTTTTGCCCAAATTGATCCCTAAGGGCCAGTCTAAGAGACCAAACCAGCCCTACCTCAAAGAGCTCTAAGGACCTGAGAAAGAGGCTGTGTGCCCTGCAGCTTGGCTTGCAACCCTTCCGCTTAAAAACAATAGCACCATCTTGCTGTAGGTGGCGCCTAGCGGTGGATATCCCATCCTTTTCAACTCATGTCAACCTTTTTTTTTTTATCAAAGCCAGGCGTTTCCCTTGAGATTTTGCTGTGGGCTTCGGATCTCGGGCAAACAGCATGGCAAGTTGCATCAGGCCTCACAAGTTAGAACAGAGTAGTGGGGCTATTGAGCCAAGCTCTCCTTCTTGGCCTATCTACCCTAAGAAGGATTCTGTTTCATGCTTGATCTCAAGAATATAAGGCAGACTTGGAGGAGACCCCCTGAATTTGTTTGAGCGAAGCTTCAAGACCGGCTCCTCCTTCTCGGCGGGGATTTGACTCACCAGCTCTTTGGCTCTTTCTGAGGGCCAGCCCAGCACCTTCATGCCCTTCTTCAGCGTCTGCACGATGGTCTGTACCTATGCATCTTCGGCACGCCAACTTCTGATATCAGGGTCAGAAAGCTCCGGCGCGTAAGAATTCGCAAACCAAGAGTTGCAACTGGTGTCCGCCCTGGATTTGCCCGACCAACTTCTTGACAAACTTGTCCAACGAATGGATGCAACCAAGAAGAAGCTGGTAATAGTGGCCTGCTAAGCGGAGAGGCCGCTGAAGAATGAGCCCCGAACTTAGAGGGCGGGGTTCCGAAAGACCCATCAAAATCCCCCCAAAAGCACAGGCTGCTCAGAAGTTGAGCGCTCAATTTCTGAGCGGCCTATTACTTTGCAAGATCAATTTCTTGGCGCTAAGTGCTGAAGGAGCTGCTTCAGAAGCTGAAGCCAAGATTGAGAAACTCCTAAGAGATACAGCCCTCCTGGCTCCAGGGACATACACAAGCCCTCTTAAACACACAACGGACTTCAAGAACTTCAGCCCCTGGTTCTCGGCGAACCGATTCTGACACTGCGCAAGGGGTGTAGGGACCCCCGAAAAGAAAAACAACATGGAGGGTTGCCTTCTGACTTCCCATTTAAAGTCCATCCCAAAAAGGATACACTCACACACACACACACCCACATTATGAAGCCATGAAGCCACGTAGTACCCCAGCTAATGAAACTGACCAATATTGGCATCCCACGCTGCTCCTTTTCCATTGGCTGGAGGGCCTTGGAGGACAACCTTCCTTTTGAGAATGCCCCAAAACGTCCGCTTCCATGAGTGTTGGAAAAGGGTCACCTAAATGCAAGTCTGTCTCAATGGGGCGACCGTTTCTCTTGGAGGGAGACCAACCGGGGGTCCCTTTGAGACAAACCCATTTGCGCTCGTCCTCGTTTTTTCGAGTTGGTGCCCCCGTTGCCAGGCAAAACCAAAAGGAAAACCGCCCCATGCGGGGTCTCCTTCCTCAAAAACGAGAAGCCCGTCAAAAGTGTCCTCCAACAGTAAGCCTCAGGCCCGGAGGGAATCACATCCGAAATCCCCAGAAGTCACCGTGCCCCGGCTTTCGAAGAGGAACCCGCGGCCCAAGAGGTGTGGCTTCAACCAACCCAACCCCTGGCTAATGTTAAGTGCGCTGCAACGACCTGCTAGCATCCGCTAGGGGTGTCGCGCAGCCCACTGCGCCCCCTCACGTAACCTCTCTTGAGGTAGGTGTGCGGGCCGTGGATCAAAAAACAAGAATCAAGAATCAACATTAACACTTCGGGTTTCAAACACCACTCTAAGAGATGTCCCTATGATTCAACCCCAAGGAACCAACCCTGAGAATTATGGTTCTCCGGATTAATCCACACTGGGAAAAGGGGAACATTGGACGAAGGATGAAAACAGGGTCTAGAAAAAACACTGAACACAGCTGGGCAACAATAAACAAGTCTGGACCAAACAATGAGCAAAGTTATGTTTTGATGAACATCTCAAACAACATCTACTCGTACAAACATGCTCAAAACAAACTCGATGAGTTAAACTAAATCGTAAAGCCGCCATGAACACAAGACAAGGCAAACACATGGGGCCCAAAAAAAAACGTGCAGCTGGGACACGGGCTTGTCTGTGTGCGCCAAAGCGCGGACAGCCAGAATCACCACCGTCTTGTAGTTGCCTTGGAGGCTGCTCCTTTTTTAGGCAAATTTATATGGGCTCCTGAAGCTGACGGCAATGCTAAAAACCCAAAGGTGACTTGTTGAAAAAATAGACGGTTCTGGTACATAGAACGAAACCAATTTAGAAAACCAATGGAACTGATCTATTTCTAGCCAAACTAACCTGACACGGGACACCTATGCCAAGGAGCCCCAGCCCTGAAAGCTGAAAGAGAACTTGCCTCCCCAGTCGCACTGCAAGAATAGGGGCATCCTTGAATCCTCGGCACAAAGTGGCCGCCTGTCTCAATAAGGAGTTACCTTTTTGACCACTTTTCTTGCGGGTTGCTTTGGCAACCTGGGTCTGGTAGCAGAAAAGGATTTTGGTGTTTTGCCTGATGGGGCAACTGGCTAGGAAAACAGTGCCGCTTAGAAAGCGGCGCAACCGCCCCAGGATGGGAACCATGACTACAGTATACATCGCTCAGATGCGCCCTTCGGTGGCCAACAAACCCTACTCACACCACTGCAAGCCACATGAGTAGCTCACAACCTAGTGTACTGGTGAAGCTCCGTCCAAATTTGCTGCAGAGCTAACTCCCAAAACAGCCACTGGCAGAGGTATAGACCCCTGACTCACAACTCACATTTGCCTTCTTTGCATGCACTCTACAAGATGCCGGATCTTCTGCTGCAGCGTCCCACGTGTTAACTGAATGCGCTTCTCACTCGGCCCTCTCTTTTCGACTTCATCTTCGCTAGGCACAGAACCTTCATCGTCTCAATCTGACCAAATGGCTTGCTTCAAGAACGTGATATTCAGGCAACAAGGCACCATCTGCATCCCGGGCTATGATAGCTCTTCATTCCTCAACCGTACTTCCATCTTGGATGAGGCCTGCAACAGTGCTTCCTGCGGTGACCGCAAACACGCTGGTGGCATCTGAGCCTGCAACACCAACCCGGAAAAGGATCATCTCTTCACGAACACCGCCTGTGGCTCAGGGAAGTCCGGCTCACTAGCACCAGGAAATGGCCTCCTGGAACCCTGCTCACTAGCCACCAGATCGGGCCATGCTTGGCCTGCAACCCTTCTAACACCGGGTTATTGAGTGCAAGGATGCAGCACGCAAACACCGTCTGCCATCCTGCTTCATCTGTTCCCATGATTATTCGACCAAAAAATGGCCGCAGGAAGATGGCCAAACACCTCCACGCGATTGCAAGCGTGCTCCATGGGCGGCCAAACCCGCCACCCCTCTCCTAAAATCTTTGAGCCCATGGCTTGGTCAAAACTCCTTGTATGGCCTACGGTCATGGTTCCCTTAACAGTCATTGTACCGGTTCTTCAAGATCATTGCTACCACACTCACCTGGTAACCCGTGGCACATATGGCCCGTGTCACTGCTTCGCTGCCGTTCAAGCTGCTCTTCCCAAGCTTCCGTGCGCACATTGGCCGCAGCTGGGAGTCCGTGAGTTCCAAGACCTGGTCAAAAGCTTCACTTGACACGGGTAGAACCCATAGGAAAGAAAGAAGCTGGACCTTCAAAGTGCAGGCTATGCCGCCAATGAGGAAATCAAATGACCTTCAATAATTGCTCAAATTGCCCAAGGGAAACGGAAGCAACCAACCCGCTTCCGCTCGCCTTCTCCCAGTCCTTGCTGGCGCCTGCGTCCCAGAGCTTGTGGTGCTCTGACTCGAAGTCGAAATGCTTACCTCCAGACTGCATGAATTTCTCAGTTGCCCAAAGGAGCTAGAAATACAAGGTTTGCCTTTTGGGGCCATGCCTAAAAACGAACCAAAGAGGGAAAGGTCACAAAGTTGTTGGGACTTGGAAGGGGTAGTTTGGGTTGGCGGCCTTAGCCTGTCCTACTCGGCAAAATCCAGACCAGGCACCCGTTGGTTGATGTTGGGTGGCACTTCAATCGATTCTCGGATGCTTCAACATAGATGGTCTATCCCAATATTTGCTTCATCCATCCCAACTCCTGCGAAGTTGATGTTGATGGATTTGTCCATCGACTGGACTTTCAAAGTACCAACAACAAACATGTGCTGAGACTGACCTGTACTCCGACATTTCACTTGGGGGCAGGGTAGCCTGGCTTTCTACCACAGCCGGTTCTTTGATGATCAGCAACCAACAAGCAACACCAAGGACCAACATCAAGCAAACAATGGGGAGCACTGCAACACCGTTTCGGCACGACAAACAAATAAACTCCAACAGCCAACAAGCGATTGACACCCAATCCAACAATCAAATGCCAGCGACCATCCATCCAGCAAGTCATGAACAACCAAGGGCCAACAAAGAACAAACGATTACCAATGAGCCATCGACAACGAAAGCACCAACATCCAGCAACCAATCATGGCAAGCCAGCGAACACCAGCATGAGGTAATCAACTTATGAATAGTCAACAACAACAAACAGTGGCACAAGGCAGTCATGAAACACCCACGTGTGACCAACATCCACAAGCAATCGCAAACACCCAACACTGAACTAATAGCAAACACGCACACCAACCGTCAACAATCGCTGATGACAAACTAACAACTAATAAACACAACAGCACCCATCAGCCAACAACAAGTATGCATCAACAAGGAGCCGACAAGCAAACACAGCAACAAACCACGCAAACAATATTGTATATATATATACATTATATGTATATATGTATAGATCAGTCAACAATGATGAAGCAACAGAAAGCAACCAACCGCCGAAGACCAACCAGCCGACCAACCAAGCAACTAACACCCGATGACCAACCGACTGACCAACCGACAGACCGAGCAATCAAGCAAGCAAGCAAGCAAGCAACCAAGAAACCAAAAAACCAAGCAGCCAAAAAAACCAAGCAACCAACCAACCAAGCAGCCAAGCAACCAACCAACCAACCAAACAAACCAACCAAACCAACCAAACCAACCAAACCAAACCAAACCAAACCAAACCAAACCAAACCAAACCAAACCAACCAACCAACCAACCAGACACTCAAGAATCCAAACAAGCTACCAACAACTCGCAGAAAGACCGCCCCACCAACAGTGACAACTGCAGCCAACAGGTCCGACGAAAACAAACACACCCGCAAGATCCCGCAAGGACAGAAGTTCCAGTTGAGTGCGATCACCCTGAATCTCCAACACCAACCGTCAACAGCAAGAACAACTACCAAAAACAGCAGCCAAGAGCCAATAAACAACCACGGCCAACAATTCAACAAGCATAAAAGCAGCAACCAACCACAAACATGAACCAACACCAAATTGCCAAAGACAGTCATCGAAAAAGGAATCAGAAACCAAACAAACATGCTATAAGCATACAAACCAACCAACAGAAAAAAAAAAAAAAAAAAAAAAACATCAGCATAACACAACCAACCATCAGGTAAACAGCAACAACAACAACCACGACGACGACGACAAGAACAAGAACAAGAACAAGAACAAGAACAAGAACAAGAACAAGAACAAGAACAAGAACAAGAACAAGAACAAGAACAACAACAACAACAACAACAACAACAACAACACCAACAACATCAACAACAACAACAACAACAACAACAACAACAACAACCACAGCAACAACAACGGCAACAGCAACAGCAACATCAACAACAACAACACCAACACCAACACCAACAGCATCATCATCATCATCATCATCATCAACAACAACAACAACAACAACAACAACAGCAGCAGCAGCAACAACACCAACGACACCAACCACAACAACAACAACAACAACAACAACAACAGCAGCAGCAACAACAACAACAACGACAACAACAACAACAACAACACCAACACCAACAACAACAAGAACAAGAACAAGAACCAGAACAAGAACAAGAACAATACCAACAACAATAACAATGACAATAGCAATAACAATAACAACAATAACAACAATAACAACAATAACAACAACAACAACAACAACAACAGCAACAACAACAACAACAACAACAACAACAACAACAACAACAACAACAACCACAAACAACCACAAACAAAAGCAAACACAAACAAACAACAAACAACAATCAACAAACAACAAACAACAACAACAACAACAACAACAACAACAACAACAACAACAACCAACAACAACAACAACAACAACAACAACAACAACAACAACAACAACAACAACAACAACAACAACAACAACAGCAACAACAACAACAACAACAACAACAACAACAAGAACAAGAACAAGAACAACAACAACAACAACAACAACAACAACAACAACAACAACAACAACACCAACAACCAACAACAACAAGAACAAGAACAATAACCAAAACAAGAACAAGAACAATACCAACAACAATAACAATGACAATAACAATAACAACAATAACAACAATAACAACAACAACAACAACAACAACAACAACAACAACAACAACAACAACAACAACAACAACAACAACCACAAACAACCACAAACAAAAGCAAACACAAACAAACAACAAACAACAATCAACAAACAACAAACAACCAACAACCAACAAACAAACAACCAACAACCAACAACCAACAACAACAACAACAACAACAACAACAACAACAACAACAACAACAACAACAACAACAACAACAACAACAACAACAACAACAACAACAACAACAACAACAACAACAACAACAACAACAACAACAACAACAACAACAACAACAACAACAACAACAACAACAACAACAACAACAACAACAACAACAACAACACAACAGCACAACAGCAACACAACACAACAGCAACATCAACACCAAACACAAACAACACAACAAACAACAAACAACAAACAACAAACAACAAACAACAAACAACAAACAAACAAACAAACAAACAAACAAACAAACAAACAAACAAACAAACAAACAGACAGACAAACAAACAAACAAGCACACAAACAAACACACAAACACACAAACAAACAATCAAACAATCAAACAAACAATCAAACAAACACACAAACAAGCAAACAACAACACCAAACAACAACAACCACCACCACCAACACCAACCACCACCACCAACACCAACCACCACCACCAACACCAACCACCACCACCAACCACCACAACCACAACAACAACAGCAACAGCAGCAGCAGCAGCAACAACAACAACAATAACAGCAACAGCAATAGCAATAAACAACAATGAACAACAACCAAAGAAACCCCATCCCCACAGTTGAGCCTCCCCACCCCCAAACGCAAGAAAACGAGCATCAAACAACAGGCAAGCGAGCCGTTGGTCACCTTCAACATCTGGGGCGTTGCCGCCCCACCAAAGCTTCCAGCCGTCCACCAGCGTCAGGGGCTCTTTGGCGTCTGCCAGACGCTTGGTGATGGTCTGAACGTACCTGGCTCTTAAGTTGCTTGGCGTGAAAGGGAAAGCAAAAGGGAAGCCATAACTTTGGGGGGTCCAACCTGGAAAAAGATACACGCAAAACAACCTGTGGAGTACTAGTGGATGTGTTGGCAACTGAGCCGCTCAGTTTTCCCTTGAAGCGCCGCCTTCTCGTGCGGCAAACGACATCAGAAGTAGTGCTAGATTTTAAAATCAACAGGAAAAACACATATTCTCAAGCAAATGGAAGTGTCAGTATTGGCAGCTTTTGGGAAAGCCTTGCATTTATTCTTGTTCTAATTGTTCTAATCGTGAAAGTTTAGGCTGAGTGTCATAAGTGTCTAGTGTCCCGTTTGGGGCGGGCAAAGGATGGGCTTAGATGGGATTAAGTTGGGTTTGAGGTCGGGGGTCAGGCATAAGGAAGGGATTCGGATAAATTCGGCTGAGGCAGGCTTAAGGTTACTTACGTGGGGTCTTTGGAATTTGCTGACGCTGCCGAGTGCACTTCAAGCGCCCGTCCGGCTCCCAGCCCCTTCATTGAATAGGCTTTTCGTGGAATTTTGAGGTTCCCCCGGCGCTGTCACCATCGCAGGCTTTCTGGGGAATTGCTGGGACTAAAGTGAAACCCTTCGAAATTCTTTGAAGGGAAACCACCCCCAACATTTTGAGAACAGACATGTTCACTTTTGCGGGACTCAGGACAAACTTCATGAGCAAAGGCTGGACTGCTGCGTGCACGCTTTTGGTCGGACACTCCTAAAACAACTCCCCTCATCAAAGATGTCACCACCAAAAACAACAGCACCTATTACAATGACATAGGGGTTTGTTGACGCCTTGCATGTTTGGCTGGGATATGTCAATCGCCTCCAATTGCAAAACGCTTCAAAGGCTAGGGAACCGCATGGTTGGGAACCGCTATGATGCTATGGATATTCTCAAGCTCTTTCCTTCCATTTGGCTGGGCTCCCAGGACAATCAAAAACAGTCGAGCAAGTCTGCCCTACAGCCTGAAGCGGCCTTCTGCCTGCAAGGCTTCTCTTCGGGGCACCAATCGAACTCGTTCTTGCCCTTCCAGTCCTCGTTGGGGAAGAATTCCTTGTTGCCCCCAAGGAACTCCTCCATCCAGTTCTCCTAAGATTCGGATCGATTAGCTGACTCGTTTGGCATCCGACTGCGCCAATCGAAGGCTTGTCCCTCCTTTTGGTTTCTACTTTGCAAGCAACCACACCCACGATCGAGTCATCCCCAAAGTCCGGGAAACACCAAAGAAAACTCACCCGGCTTGAGACATGACACTTTTTTCGTGCTGGTCCCTAACCCAAATTTGCTCATGGGTTCTGCCTCACTTTCCAGCACGCAGTTGGCTTTGAGGAGGGCCTCGCCTCAAGGCGTAGGAGGTCTGCTTATCACGCCATGATGCTGAGACTTGTTGAAGCCTCAAAAGGTTCTTGCCAGTGCTCGGGAAGAATTCGGAAGAATTCTAATTGGGTATGTCGCTTTGTGAGGGATTGCGGTAAAGGGAAACCAAAGCAACCCATTTTAGGGACCACTATTCTGAGCCCCCCCCACATAGGAAAAGACGTCCTGCACAAACATGGGGTGATCCGTCTTTTTGATCAGCTGGGCAAAGTCCAGGTGGTCCTGGTAGAACCTCCCGCGGGCGCGGTTGCCATCAGGGTGGGTGCATGGGAGGAAGACTGGTTGGTCGTGCCTTTTCTTTAGGAGTCGGAGGCTGGTTTTCATCCTGGTTTCCGTCTAAAACCAGGAGGTACTGTCCAAAAAAGACACCCGTTTGGTAAGACTATGCTCAACCAAACCAATTGTTCGTCGGGGCTCTTGTCTGGGCTCGGAGCAACGCTGGTGAGCTGGGAATTATGCGTAACAACGTGCATGTAGAACACAGGTATGTGCTTGCATGCAACATGCAATCTACAATTTCCGCATATATGCACTTGCAAGGTGTAAATTGGTCCGTTTTATCTGCATATTCCATGGTCGAAACTGATTGTGCAGGCAATGGCGGTCATGTTTTTCATTTTTTGAAAAATATGTTGAATAGGATTCCTTACCATGGTTGTCTATATCCCTATTGATTGACGTGCAAGTGACCATCCATACCGACCTGAAGTAAAAGGGTGTTTTGATCACGGCGGCTAGAGGTGTACACGGCATTCTCCAACTTGGATGCATTGTGGATAAGGCAGCAGCTGAGGCTGTCCAAGGGCTGCGGACCCGAAACCTTCCCCCTCCCCTTGGTTTTATCTTCTGGTTCCAAACCAGGCTAGACGTAATTTGTCTTTTTCCTTGATTCCTTTTGGCAATCAGGGACGCAAGTGAAAACCCGCTTTCCAGCTTGAGGGAAACCAAAAGACAAGACAACACCCACAATGCGGCGCCTTCCTGCCTCCGCAAACCCCAACCGGATTTCCAAAGAACACGCGGGGCAGTCAGTTTTTGATCAGTTGATTCAAAGAAAAACCGACTGGCCGTCTTTACTTCTGCACTTCAAAACAGACGCATACCGTATACCCAATGTGAAAAAACAAACAACAAACAAGCAAAACATACATACATACACCATTACATACATACATACATTACATTACTTTACATTACATTACATTACATTACATTACTTACATTAAATTACATACATACATACATACATACATACATTACATTACATTACATTACATTACCTTACCTTACCTTACATACATACATACATACATTAATTACATACATACTTACTCGCCCCGCAACGCGCGACGCGCAACGCTGGCCTTGCAACGCGAGTTGCGCAACGCGGTACGTTCAAGTGTTCAGTGGAGTCTGAATGTCTTACAAAGTGTTCACTGCAGCAATCTACTGAAATTAGGTGCTCAGTTGGGTTAAAGTGTTTGGGGAAGTGAATACAAACTAACCCAAAAAGGAAAGGGCAGCCTTCGACCTCACTGTTTGTTTTGGTCTTTTTCTAGGTGCTTGACGTGACTTGACTACAACGCATTTCATTCACAAGCGTCGTTGGGTCGATTACATGGCTCCCATCTGTGCCCCCAAAACGGATCCCTGCGCCCGCAATGCGGGGCTGTCCTAAAAGCCAAGTGCAAACACTGCTTCGACAGTTGCCAGATTGTGTGCTTAGGGGGGCTCTGCGCATGCCCGATCACGCTCCCAAACCGGATCCCTTTTAAACACGGGTGCCCCCGCACGCCCAAGCAATCCCAGGCTTCCAGCGTGTATCACACCATCTTCAGACACCGAAAACATGCGCCTGCTGCTTTGCTGGGCTGAAGCTCAACCGCGCGCCTGGCGCGCAGGGGTGCCACGTGAGTACCCCAGCCCTGAACCACCAACACTGGTCGCCCGCACTCGCCCAAGCAATCCCAGGCTTGCAGCGTGTGTCAGACCATCTTCAGACCATCACGTTGCGTTACGTTACGTTACGTTACATTACAGTACATTACATACATTACATACATACATACATACATACATACATACATACATTCATACATACATACATACATGCATACATACACACACACACACACATACAGACATACATACATACATACATACATACATACATACATACATACATACATTACATTACATTACATTACATTACATTACATTACCATACATACATACATTACATACATACATACATACCTACATACATCCATACATACATACATTACATACATACATACATACATACATTACATACATACATACATACATACATACATACATACATACATACATACATACATACATACATACATACATACATACATACATACATACATACATACATACATACATACATACATACATACATACATACATACATACATACATACATACATACATACATACATACATACATACATACATACATACATACATACATACATACATACATACATACATACATACATACATACATACATACATACATACATACATACATACATACATACATACATACATACATACATACATACATACATACATACATACATACATACATACATACATACATACATACATACATACATACATACATACATACATACATACATACATACATACATACATACATACATACATACATACATACATACATACATACATACATACATACATACATACATACATACATACATACATACATACATACATACATACATACATACATACATTACATATACATACATACATACATACATACATACATACATACATACATACATACATACATACATACATACATACATATACATACATACATACATACATACATACATACATACATACATACATACATACATACATACATACATACATACATACATACATACATACATACATACATACATACATACATACATACATACATACATACATACATACATACATACATACATACATACATACATACATACATACATACATTACATACATACATACATACATACATACATACATACATACATACATACATACATACATACATACATACATACATACATACATACATACATACATACATTACATACATACATACATACATACATACATACATACATACATACATACATACATACATACATACATACATACATACATACATACATACATACATACATACATACATACATTACATACATACATACATACATACATACATACATACATACATACATACATACATACATACATACATACATACATACATACATACATACATACATACATACATACATACATACATACATACATACACATACATACATATACATACATACACATACATACACATACATACATACATACATACATACATTAATACATACATACATACATACATACATACATACATACATATACATTACATTACATTACATTACATTACATTACATTACATTACATTACATTACATTACATTACATTACATACATACTTACAAACAAACTCACAAACCAACAAACCCACAATCAAAAACAACCAACCAACCAACCAACCAACCAACCAACCAGCCAACCAACCAACCAACCAACCAACCAACCAACCAACCAACCAACCAACCAACCAACCAGACACTCAAGAATCCAAACAAACTACCAACCAACCAACCAACCAACCAACCAACCAACCAACCCACCCAACAAGCAAGCAAGCAAGCAAGCAAGCAAGCAAGCAAGCAAGCAAGCAAGCAAGCAAGCAAGCAAGCAAGCAAGCAAGCAAGCAAGCAAGCAAGCAAGCAAGCAAGCAAGCAAGCAAAGCCGGCGCCTCTCGTACTTGTGGTGGGTCTCATGGAAGCACCAGAAAACCCGGTTGTGGTGCGCCCAGTCAAGGCCCTCGTCAAGGTAGCAGGGCCGACCCTTGAAGAACGGGTTCCGGATCGTGTCCGTCCTGATCCCGCCCACGCACACGTCCACCTGACCGGACAAAAACGCATCTGCAAATCGAAGGGGCATCCCGGGGGTGCATTTGAGTAAACCAGGCCCTGGTGGCCTCAGCAAAAGGAGGTTGGTCTTTGGGTGTATGCTTTATTCAAGTTGGTCTGGACAAAAACCACAGGGAGGCACGCGAATGAGGGCTTCTTCATTTAGAGGCATATCCTATGACATTTAAACAACAACACTGGGACTCACCAGAGAAGAATGAATTTAGGAGTTTTTTTGCGGGTACCCGCTTTTGAGAGAGCGTTTTGAAGGAAAAAAAACAAAAGAGCACCAACCAGAACAAGTTCAACAAGACAAAGCAAAGAGAGAAGGCAAACAGAAGCACAAAGTGCAAGAATACGCATGGTGAAGACAACAATGAAACAGACAAACAAACATACATACATGAGGAAGGAAGGAAGGAAGGAAGGAAGGAAGGAAGGAAGGAAGGAAGGAAGGAAGGAAGGAAGGAAGGAAGGAAGGAAGGAAGGAAGGAAGGAAGGAAGGAAGGAAGGAAGAAAGGAAGGAAGGAAGGAAGGGAGGAAGGGAAGGAAGGAAGGGAAGGGAAGGGAAGGGAAGGGAAGGGAAGGGAAGGGAAGGGAAGGAAGGAAGGAAGGAAGAAAGCCAAACCCCACAATGGCTGCGGTAACCTCCGTCTTTGAACGGGGCCTAGAATGACAAAAACGGGCACACCCATCGGACAAGGCAAAAAAAGACTGACGGAAAAATATCAAACAAAAAGATGAGACGAAGCCAAGAAACAACATAAGGCAGTGAAGCCCTGTAGGAAGGAATGGTTTTGGCTGCCTCAGAAAGGGCACTAGCTCAAAAACCACACGTATTATACCAAAATAGGTGACCTTCAACTGAACCTCAGTCATATTCAAAACCTGGCATTAAAATGGTCTATCCAGAACCATGTAAAGAATTCACAAGGCGGCTGGCACCCATTTGCTGACACCCGTTTCTGGTTGGGACTCTCCACTACAAATCTTCAACCCGTGTTGTGAGCCAGTGGCTCACCTCAACTCAAACGGGTACTCCGAAGAAGCACGACCACAGATTTTACGTCGCTACTGGAGCGCTAAGGAGTAGCCGGGCACGCCAGCGCCTTGCCCTCGGGGTGCTTGGAGGCGGGCCCTAAGATGTGGAAGCCCACCACATCTGAGTCCTGAACGGGCCATGAGAATGTCTGGCGATCTTTCTGTGGGGCTGTAGAAATGAACGAACTGCATCAAACTGCCAGCACCCGGGTCCCACAAAAATAAACAAGTACTGGCCAAAAGCGGTGGTTGGGAGTTGTGTCGATATCCTTCTTGGATGGTTCATGGGAAAGCAAAAGGAGACAACCCATGTTCGGGTTCTATTTTGAGACAACCTATATGGGGCGACTAATGTTCAACCAAAACAGGGGACCAGCCTAAATGTTTTCCATCGGAAGAAGGAATAGATGTGGATCCGCCAGCCGCAAAAACAAACAACCTGGCAACCCGTGTGGACCTCACGAAGAAGGATGTGATGACAATTGGCTGCTTGGGGAAACCGTCCCCTTTCAAGCCCTTGCCATCCTTCCGAAGAACCCCCCCCAGGGTGAGCAAGAGAAACACTCGTTCGTCAAACAAGCAATAAGGCAAACGTAAGACATAAACGCACGCAGACAATTCATGTATCTCTTTGATTTGCCAGTTGGACGACAAGAAAAAGACAAACCAAAATTGCATTTGGGCTCCACCAAAGACATCAAGAGGTTTGGCCATACTGGAACCCTCAGCTTTACTGGGTTGCTGGAGATGAAATCCTCACCCTCTAAGGGTCCCCTTCGCACAAACTAAACAACTCGTTTTGGGAAAATGCGCATCCCAAAAAGGTTGAAGGTTCAGGATCATAGGTGTCCTTTTGGAAAAATCGATGGCACTGGTGAATGACAGGAACCCAAGGGACACCAGCGCCATCTAGTTTCAAACAACAACAACTGTGGATGGACGAAATCCATCCTGCACCACCTAAGAAACCCTGGAATGATGATTTCCCAACGTAAATGCCAACAATGGCTTCAACCATGGCTTCATTTCGTGGTGCGAATGGAATTTGTCCATCCACGGTGTGTTCAAGATCCCAGCCAAGAACTAGGTCCTCCAGTAGAGAGGTTAGAATAAGGGTGCCCTTTTTTCCGTAGTCTATTTTAGTAGGGGAACCCTCGCCCAAGAAAGGGGTAAAAGGGCACTACTCTAGAAAACATGTGACTCGAATGGACCCTTCGAGTCCTTGTCGCCCCGATAGGCCTCCTCCCACTTCATCATCTTCTCGCGCAACTCCTCCGAGTTCCGAAGTGGAAGGAGTGGTCAACAAAAAAAAAGGGCTCTTTCGGCTCGCTTCCTGAGTGGATGGGCCAAAAAGGACCAAACTTTCCACTAAAATTTGGTCTTCCCAAAAAGTTTCAAGTCCAGGAACTCGGGAAGGGAGAAACAAAGCTCTTCTGGGCATGTGTCAACATAGGGGAACCAAAAAGAAGTGGGTTGGGGTTGATTCGAACCAAGCTGAACCAGGTACCCTCACAAAACACACACGTAATTATTTCAAAGGGGGGTTATACCAAACCGTTTATCCTTGGCTTGTTTTTGCTTTTGAAACCCGCTTGGACAACAAACGAAGCCCAAGGTATCAAAAAGCAACACAGGGCTTCCTGTTTGCCCCTTTCAATTCACTTTACCCAGAAACCTACCTAGCATTGGTATCTGGTGATGTGTAGCCTGGCATGAATGGGAAACATCGGTGGTTTTGTTTGTGTGGGGACCCTTCTGGTTGTCACTCTTGAACCCCCAAGGGAAACCGGGCAACCCTCCTTTTTCAATGGCAATACTTTGCGTCGCAGGTGGAAGGTGCCCCAAAAGAAGAGACAACTTGACAACAGGAGGGCCGCATTTTTGTGGTACACGGAATTGTTCTGCTCTGTTCATATTCAGTCTATCGTAAAATATCAAATCGCTTTGGAAGGGACCCCAGTAGATGTTGTCCGAAGGGTTCTTCTTGGCCATCGGTCCATTCATGTCCATTCCCAGCATCCCACGGGTTGAAGCCAAGCATCAAGTTCTACTTCGCTGCTCGAAAACCGCACTCCCAAAGGCTCACACATCTTCAGCTCCTTCTTTTTTTTAAGCATGGCTCCAGCAAAGAGCAACCAAGTGATCTGCAAGTTGAAAAGTTGAACAGAATCCCCGGGTTTCGCTCGCCTTGGTGTCAAGGTTCGTGGGCTGAGAAATGCAGCGCTTGTACTTGCTGTCCCACCTCGGATCGAGAACTGGGTGCGATGTTCGGGGTCTGCGATGTGTTTTAATAAATGAATTTGCCTTTTTTGGGGCACCCCACGGACTGATGGTCGTCCTTTTCAGTTTCCCTTAACCCCCCCCCCCAAAAAAAAAAAAACACGCACAAAAACACGGCGCTCTGCAAAAAATACGCACCCAAATTCCCCTTTCGGCGTGCCTTTGGTCAAATGAAGAAAACGGGCTACTTATTGTTTTGCGATTCTCCTGGCTCGGGATGCTCGCGATTTATATTGGCAAACAATTGGCCTAGCCCTCGTGTAAATTCAGAAAGCTGAACAAAAAAACACAATACCTGAACCACATGTCGAGGACAAGGGAGTTGGAGGGCTAAACCACCTTTCGATTGGATTATTTTCTTCTAGACTTTTCTAGCCCACCTCCTATCATATCTCTCCAATGTGAAGGGCACCGGGTCCGAGCAACAACTTCCTTCCCCAGCGGGTTTCATTTGGGATAGGTTGCCTTTTTAAGTTCTTAGAGCCGTGACCTGAAAACCCAACACTTTCGAACGCGCTGTGTGGCTTCGGTGCGTGTGCCGTCCTCTTGAGCAAGCTGAACGAATCGCATTGGGGCGATTCTTTGAAGGGAAGCCTGGTGGAGGCTGTCTAAACAATGGCGGTCTCAAGCTGGTACCTCAGGCCAGTCCCCCAGTGGCCATGGGGAAAAAGGGCACCCTTGTGTTGGTAGTTAAACAAAAACACAAAACACCTTCCAACAAAAAGTTGAAACAACAGATATAAGCAACACCCACTAAGTGTCGTTTTTGCTTTCGGCGAGGTGTTCCCTTCTCCGCGAGCAAAGCGCATGGGGCGGAAGTGCTCCTGCTTGAAGTCCCAGCAGTCGAGGACCACCATCGCTTCAATGCCTATCTCCCCCTTGGTGAGCCATGCCATGGCATCGCCGTAGACCTGGAAATGAACCAATGAGTCATAATCAAAACCCGGTATAAAAATGGCCTACCCAGAGCCATGTGAAGAATTAAGAAGGCGGCCGAAGCTATTTATGGTTGGCACTGTCCCCTACTAACCTTCATCTACCGGGCTTTGATTGTGGCTCACTTGAGGGACCTTTTCAGCCCTGACATGTGGAAGGGCTCTCATGTTTGTTCTGCTTCTTTTTTTGACCCTCCCACGCAACCCCACCCCCACCCCAACCCACCACACCCCACCCCACCCCCACCCCAACCCACCACACCCCACCCCCACCCCCACCCCAACCCACCACACCCCACCCCACCCCCACCCCAACCCACCACACCCCACCCCACCTCACCCCACCACGCCCACCCCACCCCCACCCCAACCCACCACACCCCCCCACCCCACTCCACCCCGCCCCACCCCACCACCCCGCCCCACCCCACCCCCGCCCCGACCCCACCACCCACAACTTAAAAGGGCCAACAAAAAAAATGGAAAAAATGGAAAAAAAGCAACATACCTAAAACGTCAATTGTTTTTCGATTGAATTCAAGATCAGTTTCGAAAACCCAATCGATCAAATCGGACGGCGACCACCTCCTCCCTTTTTGGAACCACGCCTTCCAGTCCCGCAGGATCTCGGGCAAGGTGCCTTCCTTCAAATCCGCTTCATCCCAGCTGGAGACTCCCAGGTCCATGGGCGTCTTGGAGTCGTCCACAAAGATCTTCACGTGGGACTAGCGAATCAAGGCGGTCTGTTTGGAAACCTTGGGTTGCTTGGTTGGGTTTGGGCTGTTTTGGTTTCATGGGCGATTTTCTTGGTGTCGCTCGGAAAGCGTCCAGGGCGAAATAGTTTGCTGGGCTTTGCGGGATTTCCTCTCGGCGTCTTGAGTCAGACCCCTGTGGATGGACCGAATCACCGATCGGCACTTGGGAACTTGGGATGAACGAAGCCCGGTTCGAAAACTGCAAGATCAACCCTCAAACTGGTGCAAAGGGGATTTCTTCATCCACAGTATGGGTCTGTCTTTTGAAAGATCCTTCTTTCTCGGGGTCCAAGCCAAAGGGAAGCTACAGAACATATCAAGGACGAACTTGATAGAACAGAGTTGCACTACGCTTGCTACCATGGGGGCACCTGAAATAGCATCTTGAGATCCAGTTCGATTGAGTTCCATTTGATTTAGTATTGCTGGAGGGGCAGGCAACAATACTTTATTCCAGGAGCTGAAATCATATCCAATTTGGGGGGCCCGACGTACTACCTATGCCCTTGTGGTGTTGCTTGCGGACTTTGTTTAAACAAGACACATGTAAGAAAACATGGGTTTGGGAAACACGGCATTTTTGATTTTGGGGAGCTAGCGGACGAACAAGGTACCAAAGATCCACGAACCGGGTGTTGACTTGGCTACCTCTCCTCTCTGTTCTCTCGTTCTGTTCTTCCGCTTCTTGTAATTGCTTTCAGACAAATCTGGGCGGAGGTGGCGGGTGCTTGTCTTTATTCCACGTGCAATTCATATATTATTGGGCCACCAGTTTGTCTTTATTCCGGGTGTATTTCCTAATCCCATTTGGACATTTCTACTACTACTACTACTACTACGACGACTACTACGACTACGACTACTGCTACTGCTGCTGCTACTACTAAAGCCACCACCACGACTACTGGTACTAGTACTACAACAACAACTACTACTACTGGTACTACTAGTACTACTAGTACTACTTCTGCTACTGCTGCTACTACTACTAGTACTACTAGTACTACTAGTACTACTAGTACTACTACTACTACTACTACTACTACTACTACTACTACTACTACTACTACTACTGATACTACTACGACTACTACTACTACTACTACTACTACCACCTACTTCTGCTGCTGCTAAGCCTGATTGGCTAAGCCAAATTGTCCAACGGCTTCTCATCGAAACAGAGCAGGTGTGTGTCGAAACGGGGAACCCAAAAGATGGTGTTCCAGTTGGATTTCCCTTTCAGATTGAAACCAACCTCAAAGAAAGTACCCTCAACTCTGTACCCGACCCACCGACCTACAAGCGTCATACCCGTTTTGCCCTGGCCCCCGAGCCTCTTTGAAGGGCATCACCGCCATCTTGCCCACCCACTTGGGCTCCTCCTTCAAGGTTGCCGAGCTCGAATTTGGCCCAAGCAAAAGGGTTACCATTTGAAAGGCAGCCAAACTGGAAAACACATAAGTAACAAATCAAATAAGCGGCGCCCAAATTAAATATATGCTTCCACCAAGATGGTTATCAAGGTTTGTATAGTAGGGCCTTGCGATAACCCCCCAAGCGAAATTGGATGGTAGAGCCACCGTAAGACAATTGGCCAACAAGTACCACAGCTTGAATGGGAGGCGGCGGTTGTTCATTGTCTTTTTCGGTTGGCGCTCTGCCCAGACCTCCAATAAATTTCCATGCAGAAACAAGGCGCATGGGTGTGGCCGACAACTAAAGAGTTAGGGTTATGTAGGCTTTCGTCTTTGCTTCCATTTGCCACAGAGCCATGTTGGGTACCATTCTTTGAGCCACCACTTCTTTTGGCAGTTGATCGTAAAGGAACCCCCCCAACCAAACCAAAACAGGAGAAAGGAAGCCACCCACCGGAAGTGGTCTGGGTTTCACTCGCTCGGTCCTTCTTCTGTCGCCACTGCAGGGCGTACCACAGCGCCAGCAAGTCCCCAGCCTGGTAGGGGTCAGTGGGCTTGTGCAGCTTCAGGTACTTGCCGACTAACTCCAGCGCCTTACTCCGACTCTGGCCATGGTTCGGACGGAGCCCCTATGCTCATTTGCCTCAGTTTTTTCATGGGCGAGAAGGAGTAGGTCCATTGTTTGGGACGTGAAAAACAAGCAAACAACAAACAAAACAACCACGTCGGGAGCAAAACAAAGGTCGAGCACCTGTAGAATCAACGGCAATATGTACTAAATGTCTTTAAGAATGATAAGTATACCAACAAACAAAACAAACAAAAAACCACAAAATCAACAAACAAAAGAAAACAGCCAACAAAACCAACAAAACCAACAAACAAAAACAACAAATCAACGGACGCCCAACACCCCGTTCGCCTTGTCCTGTAGATCTCCTGCCACGCAGTCTCGGGCAACCAGCAGGACAAGGGCCGCAAAGTGCCTAGACTCCTTGCACGTACCCACCCTACATGGTCCCCAATACCCGCGTTTTTTTCGGGGTCGCCCCAAGCCGCGGCAAGAACAAGTAGGCTCATGGAGAAAAAACAAACTTCCCAAAGGTCTAACGGAGTAAATACCAATTTTTTTGAGTCCTGGGTTGAATACCAAATACAGGAAGTTCAATCTCCAAGTACTCACCCAAACATGGGGGGTGGGGGGGTTCTTTTAAATTCCCGTGGCTGGTTTCGAAGTACCCCCCACCGCCTCCCAAAGACACGCTGCTAGGGTAGGATGCAACCATCCTGACCAACATGGTAAGAGCACAAAGTCCAGAAACTCAGGGAGTGAGAAGGAGAGGCTCAAGGGGCACAATTTGTTTAGGATGAGAGTGGGCGTACAACAAAAAAAACAAATGTGACGGCAAATTCATGTTGCTTATTCACCCCCCGTGTTACTTCAAGCCCCCAGTGGCCATGGGAAAAAGGGGCTGACCATCAAGAGAAACCCCTTCAAACAAAAACATGAAAGACGGATTTGCCCTGGGTGCCTGGGAGTGTCCTTCAAACCCACATGTTTCCTTGGTGTGTATCAAGGGGTACACAAACAATGGTGCTTGTTCTTCTCTCAGTTGCCCTTTTGGGACCTAGAAATACAAGGAGGGGCAACTAAAAATGGATTCCAAACAGAGGAAACGTCGAAAGGTCAAAGGTCGATGCTCTTTGGGTTCGCGTTGGTTTCCAGTTAAACACCCCAAGAAGGGTAGATCTCATGGAGAAACCCCCAAGATGGGCGGTTTACCTTTGGTTTTCCCCTAAACCAATCCCCAAAATTTGGGTACCCTCAGAAAAAGCCTTTGGCTTTCCCTTAAACCAGCCCCAATTGTTGTGGGTACCCTGAAAGAAACCGACCCGTTGGCTTCCCTTTAGACCCACCACACTGGCTACCCTCGAAAAATACAAATCTATATATATATATATATATACATACGTAAATATACTTGGACTATCAAAAAATCAAGTCTTTTTCAGCTCCATGCTTGCTACATGTGAAGTTCCGTCAAAAATTGTTGTTCACAGTAAGTACGTTCGAATTTAGAGAGTCCCCTATCGTTTGCCAGCGTTTGGTCTGTAGCACAAAGGTATCGTCTTTTTTTGAGAGTCCCCTATCGTGTTCCATGGTTTCAAGCACCTTAAGCTATATGGATGTTCAAGTGTAGACTACTTTCCTTTTCCGTAAAATCTGACCGCGCTTCATGTGTTGAGGTCCTCTCCGTCGTCCAGGGACTCCAATAGCTTCTCCGCCGCCTTCTCTGCCGTGAGCTCCTCGCTGGCGCTCTGCATGGCCCGCAGACAGCCACGCAGCACCTCCCACTGCCGCGGGTGGTCGGTGGTGAACATACCCACCTCGCGGCAAAACACATGGGGGGTACGGACCCTCGCGGTTGCAAAGGTGGGAGGCGAAATTGGAATGGGGTTCTGCCAGTTGCTCTTCTTTGAGAGAACCATGTCTACCCATTTGTATGGAAAGCCCACTGTCCCCACAAAGGGCCGAACCATGTCTAATCGTTGGTGGGTCTGGCCCAAAGCTCAGACGCCTGGACAGGGAGGGTCCGACCTCTCTTGGGAACAGGGCCCTGAGAGTCGCTGAGAGTTAGTGGCTTTCTGGAGGCCCAGGGAGTCGGGAGCCTGTGGGCTGGTGAACCCTGCGTTCCGACCTTCGCTTCGGATCGGAATCTGGGGAGGCGAAGTTCCCGTTCCTCTTGAAATGGGAAGGTACGCGAACCGCTAGAAACAACCAGGCGAAGCTGACTTTGCTCGAAACAACCACATGCACAAGAATACAATATAAGCCCAACCAATATTGAATGTTTCTCCCCCAAACTGGGTTGCTCCAAGTCCCGAGCAAAAGGCCCACCCGTTGTTGGTTTAATGCAAAAGCAAACTTTGTTTCCGCGGGGTCACACCAAAGACCAGCCTTCCCGAGTTCGAGGACTGGACTCATAGGATTCCTGGGGAGGACCAGTCTCCCTCTCAACCCTGGAAAGGTACCCTCCCAAAAAGCAGACAAACCTAGTATGGCTGTGTCTTAAATCAGAAATTGGACTCCAAACAAGATGTTGTTTCCCTTTTTCCTTTGGTGTCGCTTGAAACAGCCCCAAACATGGTTAAAAAGAGCACGCACCCAGAACCAGATGCGTCCTCTAGCCATGGGACAATAGAAGGTGCGGCTTTTTGTTGGCAGTTGATTTTAAAGGGACCCCCCCCTTTCCAAAAAAAGGAACAGCAGTCTGGGAGCCTTCCAGCCCATCTTCCCCATAAGGGGCCAAACAATTAGAATGAGGGACTGGTGCAAAACTCAATCAGCTTGCTGGTGCTCAGCGGGGAAAGAGGGAATGACCCTTACACAGCATCCAACTGCTGGTTTCCTCTTTTCGGGGATATGATTCAACCACACTCCCTATCGCACCAGCAAGCCAGCAAGTCAAGTGGGGAGGAAACAAACGGATGCGCCGCTGGGAACTGCTTGCTTCGCCGCGATTTCGATTCCACGCCTTGGCCATGGGCCACTGGGCCAGCGCCACGCCGCGGCACAGCACCGCCACAGCCTCCTCCACGTTCTGGCAGGGGGAACTCCGGTTCTACATCCGGGAAGCCCCGGCCCCCAAATCTCCATGGGAAAAAAGGGGGTTGACATGCGGGAAGCGAAAGGAGCAATTTGTTGGGGAAAACAAGGATGAACGACCTGTGTGAACATATTTTGGGGCTGGTTGATCTGACGGGAAAACCAAAGGGTTTGGGACAATGGCGGGGGAGATCCAAAGGAAGCTGCAACCCAACCAATCAAAAGGAACACAAAAGCACAAGCACCTAGCAAACACACAAGTCAGGAAAGGTGGTTCAAACATTACTTCTTGACAAGGCCCTTTGAGTGAGCTTCCTGAGATGAAAATCAGCTTCCTGGGGTAAAGTGTTGCTTGGGCGTTTCTGTCTTAGAAAGGAGGCTGTTGCCCAAATCAAAGGGCTTTTTTCAGGTCCCGAAATTTGCATGTCCCCTGCCTTGGGGTGCGGCTGAGTTTTGCCGATGCCGGCCACCGACATCCTCAGACCTGAGTGCGTGACACAGCCCCCACTTGTTGCAGTATTTTTAAGCATGATAGATGGGTGTTTTTCCCGAATGCGTAGCCAAGCGTTCGCGTTTATAAGCCGGGGTCTCGGGGTGGAGGCCGTGTTCGCGAGGAGTTGCTCCAGAATCCGAACTCGTTCGCAACCGTCCGCAACCGTTCGCAGCCATTGGGATTCGTCGTGGAAGCGGGGTTTTGATGGATTGGCGAGTGCTGTTTTCATTGGCCCGGATGCGGGAATTGTAGCTTCGCAAGCTCGACGTGTGGATTTGCTGCACAGGCCCAGTGTTTGGGTTGAGGCTGTGTGCTCGCGCTGCCGGGCCAGTGTAATTTGCGTTTCAGGGGTGGTTGTTTTGAGGCGTCTTGCTTGGCAGGCGCGTGCAGCGTTTGCGCGAGTGTCATTTTCTTTGGCCCTGCCCACAGTCCCGGCCCGTGCTAGTTTTCGTCGATGCGTGTGTATTTCGTGACAGGCGCAGCAGTGTCGAAGATTCTGAGTTTGTGGCAAGCTTACTTTGCGTGACAGGCGCAGCACTTTTGCTTCAATTTTGTGGCAGGCGCAGTACTTTCGCGCTTGGGCGCAGACTTGGCAGGCGCGGCACTGTGAGTAGGTACGCTAAGTGCGTGAACCCTTTGCACACTTTGGGTGGGTCGAATCGCTCTCGCTGTGGCGCGGTGCGCATTCTGAGAGCCCAAGGTGAACCCTCTGCGCATTTCGCGTGGGTTGAATCGCTCTCGCAGTGGCGCGGTGCGCATTTTGAGAGAGCAAAGCGAACCCTGTGCGCACTTTGGGCGTTTCGATTCGCCCTCGCTGTGGCGCGATGCGCATTTTGAGCGCACGAAGTGAACTCTCTGCGCGCTTCACTCGCTCTCGCTGTGGCACGGCGCGCATCTTAAAACAAGAGATGTGGCGAGAGATGTGACATCTCACTAGTGTCAATCAGAATCGCCAGAAGTGTCGATGAGAAGTGTCGATGAGAAGTGTTGCTCAGAGATGTCGAATACAAGTCTTGCTCGAAAATGCCTCTTAGAAGCTAGTGTTGTTCAAGTGTTGCTTGGAAGTGTTGATCAGAAGCGTCGATCAACAATGTCGATCAGAAGTGTCGACCACATGGTTGCTCAGACGTGTTGCTCAGAAGTGTCGATCAGCCGTGCAATCAGAGCTGTTGCTCAGAAGTGTTACGCAGAAGTGTCAGTCAGCAGTGTTGATCAGAAGTGTTGGTCGGGATTTGTTTCTGATAAGTGTCGCTCAGAGGTGTCGCTCAAATATGTGTGTGTGTAGAAGCTTCGCTCGGATCGTCGCTTAGGAGTGTCGCCCAGAAGTGTTGCTGATGCGCGTCAGATGCGCGTGTGGCTCAGGAGTGTCGGTCAGAGGTGTTGTCAGCAGCGTCGCTCAGGAGTATCGCTCAGAAGTGTTGCTCGGAAGTGTTGCTCCGAGGGGGGTCTCAGAGATGTCGCTCAGGAGTGTCGCTGAAAAGTGTGGCTCAGATATGTGTAGAAATGTCGCCCGAACTGCGCTCAGGAGTGTCGCTCAAGCGTCGCTTAAATGTGTGTGTGTGTGTAAAAGGGTCGCTTGAAGTGTTGCTCACAAGTGTCGCTTGTGTGTTTGTGGAGGCGTCGCTCAGTTTGCCTGGCGCTGGACGCTTAGATGTGTCAATCAGAGGTGTCGTTTCGGAGCGCAATTCAAAATACCGCTTGTCAGACATCCTCGAGTTGTCGCTCAGAAGTGTCGCTCAAGCTCTTGCTCAGAAGCGTCTCTCAAAAGAGTCAGTGACAAAAGTCGCTTACGAGTGTTGCGTTGAAGAATGTTTAGAGGTGTTGGTTGAACGGTTGGTCAGAAGCTCAGAAGCGTCGCTCAAAGCATGGCTCCGCTGGACAACATGGCTCGAGTTCACGAAATGCACATTCGCATGGGAATGGCCAGCGTTTGCTTTCGTGTTCGTGGCTCCTATCAGGTTTGGGTGTGGTTTGATTGGAGACCAAATGGAACCCACCATTTTTGGGGGACCCCTAAAAAACGACAAACCCATAATGGCTTGGGCTAACCACCAGGGCGAACACGCCCCCAAAGGCCATGCCTGAACCGGCAAACTGTTTCGGCCTGGAAACCCGGTGCTTGGGATTTGCGTCTCGCTCTCTCCTTGTTCTACTAGTCTGGCATTGTAAGCTCACACATGTCAAAGCCAACACGTGATAATGCAGCAAAGAAGTTGAGTCTACCCAAACCCATGGTACAGAATCCAAAAAGGGAGTTATCGCACCTTTGGCAAGGGACTGTCACCTAACCTTTGACCATCGCTCGTTCTACCGGATCAATGAGCTCGCCATAACTAGCGCAGCCTGACTGAAGATAAAGTCAAAGCCGTAGTCTGCTGGAGCCAAACAACAAATAAACGAGCCATGGATGTTGGGTGGCCTGTCTCGCCCTCCTCCTACCATACCATACCAATAATCCTTGTCAGTTTGCTCACACCAGCTCTTAGCTTTTGCTCTTCTGACTTTGGCCTATATGTTGTCCGGGCCGAACGAAAAGAGGAGCCCTAATCCAAAAAGGGCGCGTTTGTTTTGGAATCTGGTAAGACATTTTTCCATGTCCAAGCCAGGGATGTGGAAAACAAGCCTTGTGACACTAAAGTTGGATTCTTACCCCTATCACGTTTTTGTCACATCAAGTACAGGGTTCCCCAATTGGCCACCAGTCCACTCTGGCCCATGCATAAACCATGTCCGCCCATCAAAGTCCACCCATTAAAGTCCACCCAAGCAAAATTCTGCAAACTCTGCAATAACTCCTAAACCTGAAATAAGGAATCCGCAAGTAAGGCCTTCATTCATAACGGCCATTGCTCGTTTGACCTGCTGAATACTGAACTCGCCACGAATGGGCACAACCGTTTTCCAGCATGAAGTGGTGGGGGTGGGTCCCCTTGGCAACTCACAGAAATTGCCAACCTAAAGGAGTTCGATTCAAATTCCTCTAAAGGGGGTTCACTCGGTATCACAAACAGTGACTGGTTTCCAGCAACCCTGCCATGAACATCGGTGATCTTGCCGCTCGGCAGAACCGTCGTCCTTGTCAGCCTGTTGTTGGTGGATTGCTGGTAAAATGATCCTTGCAAATTCAGGTCAAAAGTTGCACCATGAACTGCTTGCCCCATTATACCATTATCTAAGTCGCCTGTCCTAACAAACAGGGCCTGAGGAGAGTGACGGGTCTAGCGTGCTGCATCAAGCTGAGCAAATAGTGTTTGGCCACATTGGCACAGAACAGCCCCAGTTATTGATAACAGCAGCAGAACCCAAGTCATTGTCATGCCCCCCAGCTGCCCCGTACAAATTTAACATACCCGAAAACCCCACCCTTAGAGGACTCTCATATTGGGACACCCCCCTTGGAACACTTCCCGAGTGGACTGTACCAAAACAAACACTTGTTGTTTGCCACTGAAATGGTCTGCCATAAACAGTTTCAAGTCCATGAACTCAGGGAGTGAACGGGTTTCATTTTCACAAACATACTTCCAGTAGTGAGAGATTATCTTCAAACCAGCAGGGGAAAACAGAATTAACCAACAACTTACCCGGTGCCCCATCTTAGTTGGTGGGAGGGTAAGCAAATGAAAGCCCCCCCCCCGAAAAGGCATGGTCCTATGGTTGTCAAGGGCTTCCCCCAATCCCAATAGTTGTTGCTTTTTGGGCTTTCTTTGGGTTCCTTTTGGGGGAGTCTTCCACTTCCTCTTTTTTTTGGGCCCCCAAAAACCAAAGAGGGATCTCGGTGGCAAAATCTGCTCTGCTGCTAAAAAAAAACACTTTTAGTGGTTTAATTGGAAAACCCAATGGTTGGCAATAGGTTAAAGTCCTAACATCCAAGCAACATGCACCAAGCAAATGGCGGGTTTCCTCTTCTTGGTTTCCCCTTAATCCAACCGATAAAAAAGGGGTACCCTCCGCCAGACTGACACGGAAGCCTCCCAGGACTTGTTTGGAGTGGTTCCATGTACGGTATTCGCATGCCCCGTATGTTCCATTCAAAGGACTCCCGGGGTTTCCTTCGAGGCGCAGTTCTGGAAGTTGGCCGGGCCCAGGGCCGCCAGCGCGCCCGCGCTGGACTGGCTGGCCGCGTGCTTGTAGACCTCTTCCATGTCTCCGTTGGTGAAGGCATCCCACCTCACCGGAGGTCGCCGGGGGTTTCGGCACTCCGGGGCATTTTCATATGGAACCAAAACCAGGCCCTCCAGAGAGGGCCTAAAAACAAGGTTGGTACCAACTTGTTCTGCCAAAAGGTAAAAGGGCACTACTGGGGGACCTAGAAAAAGAAAGATCCACAAAAGGAGAAGTTCTTCTAACATCTGGCAGTTTTTTGGGTCTCATGTTCATCTGGAGTGTATGCCCTTATGGCCAGGGTCTGAGAGGCCGTTTTCGTCGCTAGCCCGTGGCCCTGAGACCACTTGACAACCGTAGCACAGCTGGGGCAGTACTAAGGGAAACCCGCGTAACCCTTGAAAAACCGTGACTATGTATCTACATATCCCACAAAAAAGCCCTGGGGTTATGTAGTACTGGGCTTGCATCCAGGCGTCGTGTTCGTGGGTTGGTGAAAGGGGAAGCCTAAGGGAACATGTTCTACAAGACAAAACCACATGTCGGTCAGGCAGGATTCGACAGGCCTCCCTTAAACCACCTGTGTGTCAAATGGGAGAATCGGATATGCAAGGTCCACAAAATATAGCCACATGAGTCACAATGAAAACCCGAGATTCAATTGGTCTACCCCTCACATATTGAATCGAAAAGGCGGATGCACCCATTTATAGTTGGAAGTACACTTGACCTTCATCTGCCCGAATTTTGATTGTGGCTCATATAGCCTGTATAGGCATATATGGGCCAGTACGGGTATGCGCGTGGCTTCCCCGGAAATGGCGTACACAAAACCTCTATGCTTGCATTGGGATGTTGGTCCCTCAGGGCTGTCCTCATTAAACTGAAACCCTTGCGAGTGCGACAAGTCCCTATGTTTCCTTTACAGGTTGGTTCTTGTTCAGCATCACTGCTTGGGGCTTTCACGGGTGAGTTTCTGCTCGAGTGAGTTTCCTTCGGGGTTGGAGAGGCCCTAAGGGGGTTCCTTTCAGAAGCTTCTGATTCTGGACTTATCAAAGGCCGGAAGATGGATTCAAGGCAAGGGGTACCCTCCCTCAAATGATGGAAGCTGAAAGCAGGGCGTTGCAAGGCGAAGGCTTTCGTCTTGGGCAAGCCAACAAAGACCATGATTGGTGAAAAGAGGGAAAAGTGGCGAAGTTGTCTGCTGGGTGATTCACGCCAGTTCACAAGCAACACAAAAGGAAGAGGAGTCCCCCCAATTTCAGACATACACATATTCGGTAACCGCTTGTGCGAGGGTAGAAATTCCCTGGAGCGTCTCCAATTGAAAATCAAAGCCACGTAAACGCAACGGTGTTTTAACAACCCAAGGAAAACGCCCTACCAAACATGGGTGTGAGGCTTTTGTTTCAAAAGAGTGTTGGTTTGGGAGTGTATACGCAACCTTGGATCCGTCCTGTGATATACAAAAGAAACTACCACGCCTCACAGAAACTCGCTAAAATGGCCCCCGGATCTCTAGGGCCAACTTTAAAGGGAGCCTTTTTCCGTTGATATCCGTTGATTTTGCAGGGACACCCACCAAAACAAAAGAACGGGCAATGTTCCAGTCCGGGTATAGGGACATCCACGCATGCAACTGAAAGGAGAAAACAACAAAACCGAAACGGGGAGGGGGGGGGATCCAGTCGTGACTCCACCGTTTAAGCTTGGAAATCTGAACCTTTTAGAACCACCTACCTAAATGGCCCTTGCTGGGATTGTGTAAAAAGGAAGCCGTCAAGGCCCTTCATCCTTTTATCCTTCAACCCCTCTTACCCAAAAGCATCACGGGATAAAGTGGCTACGACGGGTGAACAGAATAGGGCATCAAACCTTAGGGAATCATCTGATAGTCCGGCGCTTTGCTTTCTTCCAATAAAGACAATTTCCGGCGTGTCCGCCCCAAGGGGTGGCTTGAACACCCTTCGGCAACTTGAATGGATTGGCCAAACAAAGCTCGAACTGTGTGCCACTCAAACTGTCTTCCCAAAAAAGTATAAATGCCATGACCGCCGGGAGTGAGAAACCCATTTTCAAGCGGCAGGAAGGGTGCCTCTTTTCCTTGCCATTGGCGCGCACAAATACACATCCAGGCATGAAGCACACCCCATGGGTTGAGCGATCGACCCCCCCCCTTAAAGACAAAAACAACAATGAGTGTGTGTGTGTGTGTGTTTCCCTTTACTCACCTCGTGAGTGGATTGGTCAGAAAACGTCCACACGAGAACTCGGGAAGTGAGCTTACCCGTAACCCTTCAAACGAAGCCCAAGAAAGGAGCACCCACATTCATCGCCAGTGCACGAACTGCCACTCCCCCCTTCAACTGGCTAATTTTCGCCAGGGCTGTACGCTCTAGCTAGGGATTCGCTCGCGTCCACCACTCACTTTTGAGGTGGTTCCGAACGAAAACAGCCCAGATGAAACAAAACCATACTGTTTTTGAGGTGGTTACCTGTTAAAAGTTAATTCCAAATGAACAAAACCATACTGCTATTCAGGTGGTTACCTGCTTGAGGTGGTTGGCTCCCCGTTTTAAATAAACAAAACCAAACATCACCCCAGTCGCTCGTTCCCCGCCCATTCCCCCGCGCATCACATGGTGCTCCTCGATGTACTGCTGCCGCTCCAAGGGCTCCGCCTCTCAAAGGCAATCGGAGTTTTGCCAGGATCTGGGCCCTTTTCTGTTGGGCCTAGCCCAACTAGCATTAGTAGTTTTTTTGGTTTTTATCAGTATTAAACTACTGCCATTAGTATTATTATTCTTAGTATATATTAGTTGTTTGAGTTCTTGTTGTTGTTTGCTCTTGCTTTTGGTGCTTTAATTGTGTAAAAGAACACACATTGTGAGCTTAAAACCCGTTTTGTTTGGGGTAGGTAGCGTGAGGGAATAAATACCCTTCCACAATTGAAATCATCCGAGGTCAGCTCAAAACGGCGTTTCCAAAAATAAACCCCCTAGAAGGTCGCCACTTTTGGAAAGTAATGCTAACAAAGGACAATCCCTCCTGTCCTCAATCCTTCCCGCTTGTTAACCCCAAAAGAGCGAGAGTGAGAAAGAGAAATCCACAGAGCTGGACCCTCCCATTTCCAACCCCGCTGACAAAGGAACAAGACGGAAACCTGGACCCAGGGAGAGCTGGATGGGTGTTTTCTGAGGGCACGGTGTGTTTCAAGGGGAACCAACAAGAAAGCCACCAATTCTACTCCAAATGCCTGTATCCATCGAGGAAAGAGAACAAACTGGATGTTTGCTTCGTCTGCGAGGGGTAACAGTACATGACGTAATTTCATTTGTTGGGATGACTAAGCCGAAATTAGATTGACACACGACATATATGGCTGTGCTTTTTTAAGCACCCCAACCCCCCCCCCCCCCCAACAAAACCAAACAAACACAGAAAACATGTGATTATCGTGTGGCTTCCCTTTAAAACCACACCTACAAATGCGTGCCCTCAAAGAAATCAAGGGACGAGCCGCCCATGTATAGTCAGCTTCCCACTCATTGGTGGCTTGGATTGGTTTGGGGATTTGACCCCCCCCCCTGGCTTTTGTAGAAGGTTCATGGGGAAAAAACGCCCCTCCTTGACCACCAAACCACCCATCCAAGTCACCAACTGGATGCGTTGCCCAAAGGACTTCACCCTTTGGGACCTCTACCAAAAATGGGAAGCCAAACATGGGAAACCAAAAAAGGTCATTTCGGGTCGACTCGCTTTGGGCAAGTGAGGTGGTTGAAGCTGATATACTAGGTCCTCCAGATTTGGGAGGTTAGAATAAGTTGGTAACCTAGTTTTTTCTGTAGTCTAATTTAGTAGGGGAACCCAAGGTACCCTTTTTCTGTAGTCTGTTTCAGTAGGGGAACCCACAACCCCCCAAAAAAAAAGAAAAGAAAAAGGGTCCCTAGCTGGGGGACCTAGTGACCGTATCCCAAACGCCGCCTCCGGCGCCCCGAAGCTCTTGGGCTCCAGAGATGCCCCACTGCCCATGGCGGAGAGCGGAAGCGCGAACGGTCGGGCCTTGAGACGGACGAGGCTGGAGGTACCGTGGATGGTTGCGAGTCATCCATTTCGCACCGTTCAGAAACCCTGGTTTCTGAGAATTCCCCTGGAAAAATTCCAACAAACCATGGTTTCAGCCATGGTTTCAAAGTGGTGCGAGATGGATTTCGTTCATCCACAGGTGGTCAAAAGAACAGGAAAATAGACCCCTCCTGTGCATAGTGAAGGGCTTGCGCTTGAAAAATAACTTTTATACCATAAAAGTCTCACAACACACAACCGGAAGAAGTAAGGTAGCACATACCTTGCGAGTCTACTTACCACCGTTGAACACCGAAGGTGCACAAACCAATCATGGCCCAACACACTTCGCTGCAAAATTGCGACTTTGACACTTTTGGCCGCCCCCCACCCCCCCTCCTCGAATAAAATAAGCACATGGGCACTTCAAAAAGAGGCTTGAAAAGGGGTGTGGTGTCATTTGATTCGTTGGGTGACAGCTCTCTTCTTTGCCAAAACAACCTAATTCGGTTGGGATGAAAGCGGGCAAGAGGAGAACCGCTTCAGTAGTTGATGTTGGTTTCCGCGGGTTTGGTTCAAGGAGGTAAGAACATTGCACACCTTCGAGTTGCTGCCGCTCCACCTATCAGCTTTCCGGTGACATTTCAAGCAACCCCTGGATAGATCGCGGAGGGTTAGCAGTATTTGTCGTGCCCCCGGCTCGGTCACACGGGTCAATGAGTCTGGCTGCACATGTCCCCTTTCGAAAAATAGTCGACTGGGTGTCTCTTGAAAATAGGGAGAGACGCCACACAATTGCGGCGTTCCCTTTGGTTTTGGAAATATCGCCCTCTTGCAAAGGGCTCTCCACTTCCATGTGGATCGGCGCGAGCGTGTTGGCTCTGCAAGTCGGGGGCTACTGAGTTGGATCCATTTCCCATCCCAACTTGCCTGGAACTGGGGACTTGGGTGGGACACCAAGTTGAGTGACTCTACTTTGAGAGCGCACACATACCCCCCTATTGATTAAGCTCCACAAGCATAGGTAAAACGAGCCTGTAAGTTGAGAGTGAACCAGTAGACTTCTTTGAGCCTTTCGGCCAAGCATGATGCTCGGCCGTAGCGAAAGACACCGCTAGGACCTGAAACCGATGCCCGTTGCTCATTTGTCCATGGGAACTCTTCTTTGCGGCACGAACTCGTGCTCCAGATCTTCATTGGAAGGGGACAAGCCCCGACTTATCAACCCCTATAGTTGGTTCACGAAGTGTCTTCCCATGTATCTAAGAAACCAGCTACCAGTTAACGGTAGCCGGTTCCTATGAGTTTAAGCCAATCCGGCCGGGAACAAAAAAACAACACCTTCCGAATCCCATTCTTCGACGCTTTGAGAACGGTTGAAATGGAGACAAACATAGAATGGACCTGCAAGAGCCTGAAAAAGAAGTGGATCCCCAAGTGAATTCTAGCTTGTTTGACCCCTACAGCTCGCCATCAAACAGGAAGACACATTGGTTGTTCCCCATGACATCAGGCAATTCGCGTGCCCAGGGGTCTGTGCGAAGGTTTGTCCCAAACCAACTGAAAATCATTGGGCATCCCATTGATCATGGTATCCTCTTTCCGACATTCATGGAAGTGGACAGAACCTTCTTGCCAGCTTCAATGATTGTTGGGAGGGCAGGTTGTTGGGTCCAGGTTCAGGTATCGCCAAGGCTGCTCTGCACACCTCTTGCCAAAACTAACATTGGCACCCCCATGTCTCTGTGGACAAAAGAGACACACATTGACCCAACCTCATGTGTCAAGTCTCCTGCATAAATCCCCGGTTGTTGTTTGTGAAAAAAAAACAACCTGCCCGAGATAAAGGACCAAAACAACGGGCTCTGCGCGACTGTTTCGCCTTTGCGATGCTGCCATTTCTTCTATAGAATGATCTCCCTATATCATCTCCAGTGTAAACTTGAGCCGTCCGTGGATAAGCGGGGCAAGAGCCGAACTGGGCAATGAACATAACCAGACGGCGGAGCATCCGCACCCCTAAAACAAGACAGAACTTATTTTATATATATATATATTAATATAGATGTGTGTCTCTTTTTTGGCACTCAACACGTCTCTTGTTGGCTTCCCTTAAAACCCACAAAACAAAATTGTACCCTCAAGAACGCCGCACCCGTAGGCCCATTTCAAAAGGAGAGTAGTCTAACCATAGGAGGGAATACGAATCGGCAGGCGTGCGCCTTTTTCAAGCAACTCGGCTCACATGAGCGGAGAGTGCATGGGTCTCCATGCGTACAACGACAGCAATGACTGGCCGACCTTCCAAAGCTTCAGAGACCCGTTTCAGTGGGTTCCAACACACTCATTGGGTCCGATCGTGCACAAAACAAAACAAAACAGTTGTTTGTCGCATGCGATTGCGCGATCTGGGTTTGGGTCATGGGTACTCCCGACATATCCCTTGGTACCTGGCATTCAACTTGAGATCCATGTTCAGAGCGTGAGAGCCATTTCTGCAGATCCACAGAAGCCAGGTCACCTCAGGAAACAGGGGGCGTCTTATCTCCGCAACTCTCACCTTTTGGGCTCACAATGAATTGGTTGCCAATTGGGGGGTCAAAGTGCCCTGAGTTTTCCATTGCAGCATGAAACTTGCCTATTGGCAACCAAAAGGTGGGGAATCCTTGTCAAGCATCCCGTTCCTTGCAGGATAATAGCGCCTCATAGGGTCTGTTATGAGCCCCTTGGCTGGGAGCGTCCATGGTTGGGGCCTTTGACCCCCAGGGTCCCTCTATTTCACCCCCACATCACATCGAAAAAAGGACACGCACCTAGAAGTGGCAACCACAAGGTGATCTTGAAACAAGGTGGCCATCAGTCAAAATCCTGAACCCCCAGCGAACATCCCAATCCCAACTAAAATAGACTAAAATGGGTGGTGCACCTACCCCTAAATGGTACCATTGGTTTTGGCCCACACCCAGGTGACCCCTGACCCCCTTCTTGGATTCACCGCACCAGTTTCTACCCGAGGCAAGCGGGCCAGCCCTTAGGGCTGCGCCCCAAGGCGAGCGAGACTGGCTGGGGAGTCGGTAAGTCGGTAGGACCTGCAAACGTCAAGGGACCCAAGTGGTCTCACGTTCTTTCGATTTGTGTTGTCAGAACAAGGTTTAGAATGGTTTATCGAGATTCGGCACCAACATAACCTTCACCAAAGGTTCAAAGTCCATGAACTCTGGCAGTGAACCCTAGGCTTCTGAGAAGTGCCAATCGCATATGATGCCACTATATGAATACAATATGGGCAATCAATACGCTTCGTTGTGGCCCCCAAGTGCCAGGGGTGTTTGGCGAGCAACCCTGGTAATGACGGGGAAATAAAGTGCCTCATAGCATCCCAAAGGAGTTGGTCGCCCCAAAGTCTTGCGCACCAGACGGTGACCCCGGAAAGGAGGATTGTCCCTTCGCTTCCCTTTGAAACCAATCCGAAAAGGGAACACTCAAACACAAACACACAAAAACACAAAAACACAAAAACAAACAAAACAAACATACACACACACACAAACACACACACACGCACGCACGCACACACACACACAGACGCACACACACATACACACACAGCCACACAAGCACACACGCGCACGCACACGCACACGCAAACCCACACACACACACCCACACACGCAAACACGCACACACGCACACACACGCACACACGCATACACGCATACACGCACACACGCACACACACCCACACACACACACACACACCCACACGCGCACACACGCACACACGCACACACGCACACACGCGCACACGCGCACACACGCACACACGCGCACACACACACACACACACACGCACACACACGCACACACACACGCACACACACACACACAAACACAAACACAAACACACACACACACCACATACACACACACACACACACACACACACACACACACACACACACACACACACACACACACACACACACGCACGCACACGCACACGCACACGCACACGCACACGCACACGCACACGCACACGCACACGCACACGCACACGCACACGCACACGCACACACGCACACACGAGCGCACAGATGCGCACACGCGCACAGGCGCACACGCGCACACGCGCACACGCGGACACGCGCACACGCGCGCACGCGCACGCGTACGCGTACGCAGACGCAGACGCAGTCGCACACAACAAAAACAAAAAAACACGCACACGCGCATGAATGGTACAAATGTCGGTTTTCGCCGGACAACTGCGCCACTAACACGTTGCACAAATGGAAAGAATAGAGCTGCCGGTTCTTGCGCATTTCCCAGGGCTCCTTTGATGTATTACCCTGCAAGATTCCCCACTTTGGGAAGCAAGGGGTTGAGCTTTTTCACAGCACCTCGGCTCCTATGTGTATATCTCTCAGGGGTGGCTCAGTTTTGCTTGCTCCCTGGTGTCTCACCAAGTAGCCCAAGCGGGGCTCCTTAACCTCCGTTGGCTTTCCGTCTGGGATAAACGGCACATTTGCAGTAGTGATAGATTCTGCTAGAACCAACCGAGGGAACAACATATATTAACATATATATTCTCAAGCAAAGCCAAAAGCCAGTTGCTTGCCAATTACCAGGGTATCCGCATCAATTGTCATTTCAGTATTTCTGCTCAACTCCCAAATAGATCCGTTATAACGAATCCGTGAAAATGCCCCATGAATTTCCTGCGGGTTGGGATGCGGATCAGCTGACCTCACCGTGAGCGCTGCGCCAACTCCCGAGGAAGGGCCAGTGGCCATCGTGGCTGCGCGGCAGCGCCCAAAACTCAAAACGCATCGAATTGGTTCAAACATGGCTTCACGGACCCATCTCAAAATCGAAATACCCATCCCAAATCTTGTATTCCTGTCCTTTCCCTGCTAAACAACTCTGACCAAAAATGGATAAATATAGGCTTGCCATATCCCCCATGAAGCTAGGTAGCAAGAACCCACTGGATTCAGGGTGAAACTCAATCATTC